GATAAAATATTTGTTTATGATTTTAATCATATCGCACATAAAGTGAATTTCATATAAAATCGTGGAGTACACAACAGCTTCTGGACTGCATCCCAAACACCAATATTTGAACCATTTCTAAAAAGTGAACTCGGTCCCACTTTGTATTAACTGTCCTTAACTACTATGTACTTACATAAAAAATAAATACAATGTACTTACTGTGTTTATAATGTTTTTTAGAACACTTGTGGTGCTTTTGAGTTGGGAGAGAGGTTGGGTTATCGACAGGTTTGGTGGTATGGGTAGGTTTAAGGGTGGGTTAAGGTGTAAGCGATGGTCAACAGTATATTTACAAATGTAATTACAGAAGTTAATTACAGATGTAATTACATACAAGTATTTATTCAAGCACGTCACAGTAAATACATGTATTTACACAGTAAGTACATTGTAACAAATTATTAATTCTTGTGTAAGTACATATTAGTTAAGGCCACTTAATTTGAAGTGGGACCGTGAACTCTTTCTGGCGTATATTAGGCATGGATGTATATATTATGATTGTGATTCTCGAAAGTATTACATCACTTTATAAACGTTTATTATTACTATTTGATAAGTCTCCCTATACAGTTCGATACAATGCTTGTACCCGGAAGCCGCTTCGTGTGACGTCACACTTAACAAGATACATGATCAGGTTTTATAGTTACAAAATGATTGATTGAATGTGCGTTATCAGTTGTTATCAGCTGATAGATATGGGCCAGTAGTACTGGTAGGCTCAGAAGGCTGTTATCATCCATCAACATGGTTAATCAGGTACACTAATAGTAAAGACTCCAGATTCAGATTAGTTTTTACATTACTGTGAAGGTTGGGTTTGGGGTTGGGGTAGGGGAGGACGTTAATAAAATACAATTAATGGGAAATTTAATTGATAATATAAATAATTCTTGTGATTAATCAACTAAACTAATAGGGAAGACTCCAGATCTGTTTTTAAATTACTGAGAAGGTTGGTGTAGGGGAAGACACTAATAAAGTACAATTAATGGTAAGTTTAATAACTCTCGTTAACTTTGGGCCACAGCTATATGTAATCTATAGCTGATTAACTATGTGGATGGATGATAACAGCCTTCTGAGCCTACCAGTAGGCGCAGAAGGCCCCTACTGGACCATGTCTATCAGTTGATAACCACTGATAATACTCATTTAACATTCCAATGGACTGAAATGATGAACTTTGACAAAGATTGTTTTTATTGTTATAATATTGTTAAAATTTTAATATTTTTAATGTCTAAATATAAATTGAATGAAAACGTTGAAACGACAATTTAGTCATTTACTGCATTTATGTGGTTTATAAAGTGTTTGTCCAGAAAAAGACAGCAAACAATGTTGATTAAATGTTTGGTTGTTAATTTATAGTGAAGAGTTTACAGCTTTGAAAAGGATTATTTAATCACTAATTTACCTTCGGCTTAGTACCTGATTTATGAAGGGGTCAGCAAAGCAGAATGAACCGCCAATTACTTTGGCATATGTTTTATGCAGCGGATGGCCTCCCAGCATTGAGATTTCCCTAACTCTTGAACACCCAGTGCAGGGAAACACCCATACACTCTCATCTCACACACACACACACTTATACACTAAGGCCAATTTTGTATATTTGAAAATGATTATTTTGGTCCAATGCCTCCAATCTGGTTTTAGTGATATGGCAAGTCATTTTGACCTTTATCTACAAGTGTACTAGTATCTAAGAACTAGTAGCTTGAATATAGATACATTTTAATCTATCCTTTCTATAATCCCTGATTGATAGTGTACACACACCTATCAATAAGATACTAGCAGTTAGTAGTACTGATAAAATGTATGGTTGAATCATTCACAAGAACATGCATTTAGAAAAATATATCAAATTGTATTTCATGTCTGAAAAGCCACAAAATAAATAAAGTCACAAAATACTCAAGTGGTAGCAGATGTGTCTAAAAACACAATGGTCCATTTTCCTAATATCTATGTAGTTCAGGTTTGGATATTTTCTGTTTATATCGTTTTGTGATAAAGATTGGATTTATCATGGGAGATCAGCCTCTGCCTCTCTAATCAGCTATAATCAAATCACCTATAAAAAGATTCAGATCCTGTCATTCCACCCACTTGTAGCGTCTTACTTGCAAGCACTTATGCATAAAGACCTATTTGGCAGAACAAGCATATGTTTATCCACTCACCTTGAACAAAGCAGATCATCGCTCTCATTTAAAGTGTCATTTAAACGGCTGTGTTCATACAAAAATGGAAATTTCCTCACCATTTACTCGCATTTAAGTAGTTCCAAACTATGAACATCTTTTTTTCTGTTGAACACAAGCAGCCACTGACTACCCTAGTAGGATGTTGAAGTAATTCTGGTGGTTGGCTACTCCATTTGGGCAACATTCCAGCCCCTATAATGTAAAATATATATATTAAGTTTATATACTGTAACTTAAAATAATTTAAAAATATAGCTTCTTTTAGCCATGATGATGATGTTGCTTATTATTTTTTATTAGTAGTAGTATTAGAATTAGTGTTAGTATTAGTAGTGATAGTAGTAGAAGATTATTATTATTATTATTATTATTATTATTATTATTATTATTATTATTAACTACCTAACTACCAATCCTTTTTGGTTTACAACTGACTGAATCCGAAAGCTTAGGCTGCTGACATATTGCCCGACTGCCCTGCCAGGCAGTGACCCTAAAGGCAACATTTGTGCATGAAGGCACATTGTAAAATAGATTTCAGACAGACATTTGAGGCAGCATAAGGATTTAATCACACTCAAAATCCTAATAAGCTGAGAGTACTAAAATGATTTGAGGAATGTGATTCCCTCAGTTTGTTTGTGTAATGGGAAATCGACAACTCAATTAATTGAGTTGACAAAATGTGCTCTCTTTGTTGAATTAATTAATATGTTTGATTATAGATAACTTAAAATAGCTTATAGACTAAACTTTCAAAATTTTCAAAAGCTTGTATATTCTTTTACATACTACCAGGGGTGTTTATATCGAAGTTGATATTTAGCCACGCCAAATTGGTGTTTTATAACACTTAATTTTTATGAGGTGGATTGTTAGTCCAACGCTCAACCCCCAACCTGGAGGATCAGAACATGCACACATACACTGTGGACAGTTTAGCTTACCCAATTCACCTATAGCGCATGTCTTTGGACTTGTTTGGACTTGCATTTTGATATCTACTTACTAATTTGACTTTTCCCTTTCGTCAGATGGGTTCAGGTAGTGCCTCTGTCCTGTTGCGCTTCAGCAAAATTCAGCATCAAAAGCCAAATGACCACCTTGTCAATTGTGTCATAACATATATCGACCAATAATCGCAGTTGTCAAGGCAGAATTTCAAGTGCAACCAATCATTTTAAACAGAGACATGGTCAATCGTTTAATGAAATTAAAATATATAAAAGAAAATTTTTTTTAAATCTGCCTAATAAGTAAGTTAAACACACCTGTTTAAGATTGGATGCAAAAATTTTATATTTTAAGTAATGTTAAGTTTTGTTAGCTTAGTATCTTTAGTAATGACAACAGCGACGTACAGTGGAAGTACAACAAGTACAAAAGTGCTTTGGTGTTACCCAGTGCTTAATTTGTGAGTTGCAAGGTCCTGGAACAGATCGGGGTAACTGATCCCGCCTGTTACCTGAGGATGTAGAGATGTTGCGCACGAAAGTACCAGGGGTGGAGGATTGTAGGGGGAGTGTTGTCGTGGACGAAAGCGAAGAGCAGGGTGGGCTGGCGGACATGGTGGAGCATGAATGGTGTTGAACATGAAGAGGGTTGGGGAGTTGCGGAAGAAAGTGAAAGTGAACAGCGGACGGGTGAAGGAGGGTAAATAGGTAAATACCGGCGTGTTCCAGCACAAATTAAGCCCCGGTTGATTCCAAAGGAGAATTTGTTTACTAAAATACTAATTTCTCAGAAGAAATGGCATCAAAAGTGGGAAAACATAGGTCAAAACATACATTTACATGCTACAGATGCCCAAGTGGGGTTTGGAGACATTATTGTTGATTGTGGGATTTTAAAAGTAACGAAGGACACATTTATGCTGCCTTCTGGCTTAGGAGGCAGCAATTTAGAGCTTTTGGACACAGACATTTTGTTCTAAATCTGAGGTCCAACTTTATTTATTCAAACCAACAAAAATGAAGGAGTTCAAATTAAATTTGTGTATCAACTGGACATGTTTCTGTCAGAAGGGGAAGTGACACACCTGACTGATGCAATGAGAAGAGAGCTGTCAGTGTCACACACACACACACACACACACACACACACACACACACACACACGCACATACAGGTGAACAAACATACACACCTCCAACGAAATACTTGCACCCCATGTCGTGTCATATCCTCTCTCTCACACACCTCTGTCCATAAATACACACTTCTGTGAGTCAGGTGGGTCGACGTTGAATCCATTCAAACAGATCTGAGGCTGGACACAAACCTTTATTTGTTTTGGTTTGTTTTTATATACTGAACTTCATGACTCGGTGCGGTGTGTGTATTGTTGGCTGAAGTGAGTCTGTTGGTGGTCTGGGATTCAGTGTTTATCTTTAGGGATGTTACATAAGATTTGGCTCATGAGTAAATCTGGTTGAAACACTTTCTGCTGCCACTGATCCTTACCGGCCGACCTAATCCTGTAATTAGACTATGATCTGCATGTTCCAGTCATTACGTTTGAGTGTGTATGTGAGTGTGTGTATAATCTTGTTCTCGCTGTACTGTGGGTGTTGTTAAGGGTTGTTGGCGGTGTGTCAGATTAAGGAAGTATTTCATTGAGAGGGCTGAAGGATGTGAATGAGCACAGGAGTGAGTGTGTATGGATCCAGAAACTCAGTGGGTGGAGGAAGCGCTTGCATTTTTAGTAAAATTCTCCTTTCTCGTTCTCTCTTCCCTGTAGGAAACCGCTGTGTTTGAAAAGGAGAAGGACATCATATCCATAGTAAGTTCACTCTTACTTTTTTCATGACTCTTGATTCTTTGATTTAATACTACTATTTCAAAGAGACATTTCAGTGAAATGCTGCATGTCAGATTTGTGGTGTGAGTTTACAATAGTTTACACTGAAAGAGGTTGTAAAAGTAATTGTGCAGCTTATATTTTCTGTTATAGCACTTTAAGTATTTAAAGCATTGTGATGATGAAGAAAATGTGTTTAATAAACAATTTTACAGTAGTCAGATATATTGTTGACAACTTGTGTGGTATATGTAAGAATACTTTGGAAAATGTAATAAAAAATTTCTATGATATTTATTTATTATCAATTTGTAAAATGAATAAATATAATATAGCAAATAAAGCAACAAATAATAACTTGACTTCCTGTTGATCATTTGGAAAAGTGGCAAAAGGTCGATTTTGATTAATCATCTGTTGAACTGCATTCCAATCATCACAAATACTGCAGAAGACCTATTGGAACCCGCATGACCCAAGATTCTCATAGAAATTATTCAAGTTTGGTGAAGGAAAAGTCATGGTTTGGGGTTACGTTCAGTATTGGGGAATACAGGAGATCTACAGAGTGGATGGCAACATCAACAGCCTGCAGTATCAAGACATTTGTGCTGCCTGTTACATTACAAACCACATGAGAGGGCAAATTCTTCAGCAGCATAGCGCTTTTTCTCATACTTCAGCCTTCACATCAAATTCCTGAAAGCAAAGAAGGTCAAGGTGCTCTAGGATTGGCCAGCCCAGTTACCAGATATGAAAATTATTGAGCATGTCTGGGGTAAGGAGGAGGCATTGAAGATAATTCCAAAGAATGTTGATGAATCCTGGGAGTCCTGCATGAACGCTTTCTTTGCCATTCCAGATGACTTTATTAATAAGTTTTTTGAATCATTGCAGAGATGTATGGATTCAGTTGTCCAATCTTATGGGAATCATACACAATAATAATTCTTTTTCCAATGCACCATGACTTTATAATCTATACTGCACATTATTTCTGTTAAGTGATAAGACTTTTGTCTAAGCAAAGTCAGACCTTACTGTTCTAATTAAATAATTAAAAATCAAGGCATGATCATATTTTATTTTGGTAAAATAAGTGTAATTTAGAGGCCTTGGCCTTTCATATAAGCCACTTCTGATGCCAATTGATCAACTAGAAGTCAAGTTATTATTTGTTTTTCCTAAAACTTGGATATGTGGATAGGTGACAAGACTTTTGTCAGGTAGTGTGCATGCAACATGTTAAACAAGGATGTTGTAATTTAAAGATCTCCCAAAAATCTAACTGACCACAAATGCCTATCGGTAGTGTACAGTCAGTGTGACATGAAAAGATAACACTTAAAAAAAAAAAGGTTCAAGATTATACCGATTACTTTCATCATTTCATGCTCCATCTCAAGTCTTTTCTCTCTCTAGTGTCGTCAGCTGGTAGCAGTGTGTGATGAGATTTTGACTGTCAGTCCATTGCCTCTTCTTACACACACCACACAGCTGGAGAGTGTCGACCTGGTCCCAGCCTCACCAGGAGATCAAGTGGTAATTCTTTTGTAACTCAATTTCTTTATAGTGAATTATTATTTCTGTTTTTCATTCTCTTTCCACATTGGTGCAATACTGTAAAGTATGAATATCAGGGTTTGGTGTGTAGGGATGTACCAATAACTCTTTGTTTTTGGATGCTGATAAGCAATGTAAAGGATGATAAATACGATCTTAAAGTTATTTTTTTCTGATTCTGATCTTTAAAATAAAATATTAAAATTATTCTCATTTTATCAACCATTTCGCAACTCATAAGTTATTTCTCATTAGCCTGAAGATAACATCAAAAATAGCAATTGATCTCCAGATGACTAAACATTGTCTGAAAAAAGAAAATGGAGATAATCCATCATTTATTACATTTTGAACATTTTTATTGACATTTTTAACAGCCAAAATGTCATTTTCCTTTTAGCCCAAAAACAATACCATTAAAACTAGTATTGCTCCACCAATAAACTATATATAGACAAATTAATGCAAATCTTCATGCATTTTTTGAGCCTAATTAAATATGATTCTTACATAATTATGGAGATAATTCACTATTTATCAGTCAATCATTTATTTTCTTATCATGCTCCTAATGATCACATTAAAATAACTATTTATCAGCTGATACTGATATAACTGCCGTTACATTGGAAGTGGTCAAAAGTTCAGAACATTTTAGATTAGGACTACATGATATTGAAAGAAACTGATGTTGTGATGTTTTGTTTTTTTGCAATATATATTGTGATATGAAAATAAATAAACAAGATGACTCTTTTTTTTTTAAAAAAGAATTCCTTATTTAATATTGATTGGAATGATTTGTAGTTGAGTGCATCTGCATAACATATGCAAAAAATATGGAAAAACTAAATATAATTAATTAAAGCACAGATGAAAACAACAGAACAAAGATAAAAAAATAAATATGTTTTTTTGGTTGGACTTTAACAGTATTTAACAGTATAGAAATCCCAACAGTATAGAAATCCAATAATCAAATGTAAAATAGTCTGTATTCTATAGCATTTAATAATTAAACACAAATCATCTTCATTAAAGCGGCAAACTATATTATTATATAGTTACTAATATACTAATACTATATATTACTAATATATTTTCTGTGCCCAAATGGTTGAACATCTTTTAACATCTTACAGTCACACAGGCTTTAACAACAAATCCAAATAAAAGTCTTTCATATTATTAGTGTTAAACTTTGCAACGACTCCACAAATTGCATGTTCTGAACTGTGTTTTCCGGCTAATTATAATTCCAATTTGACATTGCATGTCCTGTGATGTGACTGTTGCGATATTCATGCTAAAACGATATGTTGTGCAGCCCTATTTTGATTCCTGTTTACACTTGTATTTAGTGTTTGCTACTTGTCATCTAATTGACACAAAATGAGTCCTAATGTTCAAATGGCTTTCTAGCTTCATAATTCATTTGGATATTTTAGTGCTGTTTAATTGAGGCCTTCTTTTTATGAATGGCTAACATCTAACCATCGTTTTTTATATAGAGGAACAGATAACGTTTAAACAAAGGCATCTTCATTCTATCTCTCTTGTGTCTCTCTCTGCATCTCTTTTTCTCAACACACTTCAAACCAGACAGTCCTTGCACTGTGTATTATATTCAGCTAATATGTTGCTAAGGGTAAAGCTATTTAAAGACAGTTTAATTATGTGAAGCTCTTCATTTCTCTGTGCTGAGCACAAACACTCAGCAGCTCCACAAAGAGAAGCTCTTCAGTAAGGATTCTGTGGACTGATAAATTATTCAATTATGACATTTATAATTGGTCAGATTTTCCACTGGTTCATTTAAAAAGAGTTATACTCGGGTTCCTTTTAAAGGCTCAGATAGTCTGGTGCTGTACACTGAAAAAAATATCAATTTTATTTATTAAGGACATTTTTTAAGGTAAGTGGTTGCAAACAATTTATATGAGCTGAGTTTAAAGAAACTAAATAAATTTAGTAATGTTCAACTTAATTTGTTTTGTACAGTATGTCAGCCCATTTCAATTGTTTGCAACCACGTACCTTAAAACAATTTAGTTAATTCAATTAATCATGTTTTTCAGTGCATCCGAAATCGTCCGCTTTACCCTCATTTACTGATCCCAACTTTAGTCCACTAATATAGTCCACTTGAAGGATTGAATAAAAGGAGTGAGTGAATTTTGAGCACCGGAAAGGATGCCGATTTGTTCGTTTTGCTGCTTGATAAATCTCTCAGAAGGATTAGACCTCCAACTCCTTGGTCAGACCCTGTGGTTAACACTTGGCGACCTGTCAACTGGTTGAAAACACTTTATATTGGCTGAATTTATACAAGTAAATTAAATTTAGTGTTTTTTTTTTTTACTTAATTTGTTTGTTTAAATTCAGCCCATATAAATTGTTTACGACCACTTACCTTGAAAAATGTAGTAAATCCAATAAGTCATTTTTTTCAGTGTATCCGAAATTGCCCTCTATACCCTCATTCATACATTAGTCCTATAACATCGTCCAATTGAAGGTTTGAATGAAAGGAGTTAGTAAATTCGAGCACTTGATGCACCGGAAGGGATGTCGATTTGTTTATGTTTTGCTGTATGATCAGACCTGGTGTGATAGTTATTTAACACTTAGAAAGCTCTCTATCGGTAACGAAACAAAGCATTTTGATTTCTGTCATGTATTCAAATGTTACTTTAATCATCTAATATTTAGGGACCGAGCACCGAACGGTGCAAGGCCCTATTGGAATTGCTCCGTTTCTTATTATTCTTCTTCTTCCGCGGAATGAATTGCGGTTTTGAGGGGCTAAACATGCCCGAAAACTCACGCAACTTTGCACACGCCTCAGAAGTGGCGAAAATTTACGTTTGTTATGGGCTTCGGAAGTGGGCGTGGCAAAATGACTCGACAGCGCCACCTAGAAAAATTAAACGGACGAGCCCCCGATCCACGAACCACGCACATGCACGAAAATTGGCACACACCTCAAACATGGCAAAACATACGAAAATGTCTCTTGGAGCCATATCTCAAACCCAACAGGAAGTCGGATATTTTTAACTTCCTGCGGCGAAAAAGTGGCGTTTTTGCCATTTCCAGGCGTTGTATTTTAACGAACTCCTCCTAGGGATTTTATCCGATCGACACCAAAATTGGGTTTTGTCATCTAAAGGCCTTGGCGATGTTAAATTGCGAAGCTTTAGAGTTTTCGTCGATGGGCGTGTCCGTGGCGGCCTCGCAAACTTTGACGATTCGCCACAAAAGAGGAAGTAGTTATAACTCAGGCATGCATTATCAGATCTGCCTCAAAATTCACACGCTTGATAAGAGTCCTGACCTGAACACGTTTACATGCCACTATCCAGATACAGTTACAGCGCCACCTGCTGGCCACAGGAAATGACATGATTTACGGAGTTATAAACTCCTCCCACAAATTTTATCGTATCAACACCAAAATTGAGTGGTGTTATCTGAAAGCTCTAGCGATGTTATATTGTGAAGATCTAGAGTTTTCGCAGAGGGGTGTGTCTGTGGCGGTATGACAAACCTCAACGCTTCGCCATGGAACAGGAAGTCCTTATAACACAACCACACAATGTCCGATCTGCCTGAAACTTCACATGGTTGATAAACGTCATCTCTTGAACACATCCACATAACAATATTGAAGTGGGCGTGGCAAAATGACTCGACAGCGCCACCTAGAAAAATTAAACGGACGAGCCCCCGATCTACGAATCACGCACATGCACAAAAATTGGCACACACCTCAAACATGGCAAAACATACGAAAAAGTCTCTTGGAGCCATATCTCAAACCCAACAGGAAGTCAGATATTTTTAACTTCCTGTGGCGAAAAAGTGGCGCTTTTGCCATTTTCAGGCGTTGTATTTTAACAAACTCCTCCTAGGGATTTTATCTGATAATTACCAAAATTGGGTTTTGTCATGTTAAAGCCTTGGTGATGTTAAATTGCGAAGCTTTAGAGTTTTCATCGATGGGCGTATCCGTGGCGGCCTCGCAAACTTTGATGATTTGCCACAAAACAGGAAGTCTTTATAACTCTGGCATGCAATATTCGATCTGCCTCAAAATTCACACATTTAATAACAGTCCTGACCTGATCAGGTTTACGTGCCGATATCTAGTTACAGTTATAGCGCCACCTGCTGGCCACAGGAAATGACATGTTTGACACTGTAACAAACTCCTTCCACAAACTTTCCCGTATCAGCACCAAAATAGAGTGGTGTCATCTGAAAGCTCTAGCGATGATATATTGTGAAGATCTAGAGTTTTTGCAGAAGGGCGTGTCTGTGGTGGCATGACAAACCTCAACGCTTCGCCATGGAACAGGAATTTCTTAAAACTCAACCACACAATGTCTGATCTGCCTGAAACTTCACATGATTGATAAAAGTCCTCTCCTGAACACATCCACATAACAATATTGAGTCAGTCATAGCGCCACCTGCTGGCAGAAGGTAGTTTGGCTTGTAACTCGGCCACACAATGTTCGATCTGCCTGAAACTTCACATGGTTGATGAAAGTCCTCTTCTGAACACATCCATATAACAATATTGAGTCAGTCATAGCGCCACCTGCTGGCAGAAGAAATTTTGGCTTGTAACTCGGCCACACAATGTCAGATCTGCCTAAAATGTCACATGGTTGATGAAAGTTCTCTCCTAAACACATCTACATAATAATATTGAGTCTTTCATAGCGCCACCTGCTGGCAGAATGTAGTTTGTCTTAAAACACAATCTCCACACAATCTCTGATCTGCCTGAAACTTCACATGGTTGATAAAAGTCCGCTCCTGAACACATCCACATAACAATATTGAGTCAGTCATAACGCCACCTGCTGGCAGAAGGTAGTTTGGCTTATAACTCAGCCACACAATGTCCCATGTGCCTGAAACTTCACATGGTTGATAAGATTCTTCTCCGGAAGACATCTACATGCCAATCTTAAGTCACAGTTATAGCGCCACCTGCTGACAGGAGGAAGTTTGGCATAAATCTGTGATTTTCTTAGATCTTTTTTTATATATTGGCTTAAATTATTATTGTTCGCTGTTCTCTGTCATCGTAAGGTCACTGGGCGGCGGTGAGCCCGGGTGCGAGGTCCCTATCATCGCTGCTTGCAGCTTTAATTTATTTTGAAACTTACACACTATAACCCCTAAAGTTAAAGTAACTCAAACCATTTGAGGAAACCAATTGCAACAAACCATTTAAGTTCAAAAACTAATCCAAATGAGTACTGTGAACTTAATCCATTTGAGTAAACGAAGCAATTTGAGCACAGTAAAACACAATAAATGAAGAGAACTCAAACCAACTGTGTACTGTAAAACTCAATAAGTTAAGGCAGCTCAAACCTTCTGTGGATACAGATTGCAACAAACCATTTGAGTTAAAAAATAAAACCTAGGCTGTAGACCCATTATTGCACTGCACATTGTGCATTGTTGGGATTGATTCAGTGCACTTTATGATGTCCACTATGATTTCAGACACCCTTGAAATGGCTAATCCCTCAAATAGGCAATTTTGGATAAGGCCTTGGATTGCTTGACATGCTTAAGTTGAAGTTTGCTCCTTTGTGTTTTGTTTGTCCTCATATATTATGAATACCCACTTGGCAACACACAGTTGTGATAAAAATAATAAATACTTTTCAGTTTCTCTTTATTTACTCATTATATTGGGTATTAGTTTGAGTAAAGTGTTATATTTATTTATATAATGAAACAAATAATTCTATTATTCTATTTGGAGTGGTCTAAAACCTTTCTTCCCAATGAAAAAATGAGTTTTTTTCTGAAAATGGCAAATGGACAAAATAACAAACGTTGTGATTGAAAATTACTGTAACGCTATCTCAGCAAATATACATTTCTTAACTTATTTTAAACAGTTATATTACTTTAAATGACAACATTTTTATTATAAATTCAGAAGAAATGTCACCATGTAGTTTGCAAAACAAAATGAATGAACCTTTTACTCAAACACATAACTTTAAATCATAAATCCAGAGAAACTGAGAACCTGCAAGTGGTGTATTATTTTTTTCTGTAGCTGTTCATTTGCACAAAACATTTAAGGAAATCCAATAACAGTGTTTACGTTCTTAAGTGCACAATCCATAATTTAATGCCAGGGACAAAATTAAAAAAAAACTTGTTCTTGCCAAGACATGTCAGTCTCTCTTTGTTTTGAAAAGAGTGATTGTGGTGAAAACTCAAATGATCCATATTTTGACTCTCTGAGCTGCATGCTTTGATGAACACAAGAGTCAGGAAATAAAATAACTGGACATGATTGATACTTATTGATTTGACGGATACTAATGGATCCAGTGGCCTGAGGTTAGATTATCCTGATTCATTGTCTCTAAAGCAGGAGGTCTTTGTACTTACAGCACATTTTCAGCAGAATCAATACAATTTATATCCAGCTCGAGCTGACATCTGATACTGCAGCCGATTCATTGACCAGCACCGGTTTGAACATGCTCCCTCATTTCCCCCTTTGAATTTTGATCCATATTTCCTGCTGATCTTGATGGCAGGAGGGCCGAGTATTAAAGCAGAAGCAGCAGGGATCATGTACCAATTAGCAGCCCATATTCTCCACATGCTTATATGAGCCAATATCAAATCCATTGATTCGTAGTTCAGCTGTGGTGTAAGATATTCACGACTTGATGTGCACATTATTTCTTTCACATAGGGAATTGAGATCACCACCACAGGATCCAGAAATCATTTTGTCACTGGAATACCAACTGAGGTATATTTCATGCATTTTGCCAAAATTCTAAGAAAAAATAAAAGTTTTCTTAATGTAAGTTTTAAAGGAAAAAGTTTTTTTTCCAAACAAACTAATTAATTTGCTGTTAATTCACTCTCCCTCATGCACTCCGAAATGTGGTTGCCTTTTTACTGTAACAGAACATTAAAGATTGAAATGATGCATAAATGTATGTATAAAGGCTTACCTTTGGAGAGTCAAAAAACAAAATGAGTATATTTGGCTCCATATGATGCACTGATGTCTTAAGAAGCTGATCTGTTAATCGGTGAAAGAAGCTGAAAGCCAATTCCAGCATCAATATCATTAATCTACATTATATTTTGCACAGACTGCTTGTTTTACTTCATAAGACCTCGATGTATCACTAGTAGCCTCGGGTATTCATTTTGTTTTATTTCTATATGTTAAGAGCTACAATTCAGCTGAAAATTCATTTGCTGTCATCGTTTGCTGACCCTCTACTTATTCCAAACCAGTCTGACTTTCTTTCTACTGTACAACAGAAAAGAAGATATATAAAGAATGTTGGAAACCGGTAACCATTGACTTTAAATATATTTTTTTCCCTACTTTGGATGTTAATGCCGGTTTTCTTCATTCATAAAAAAAAAAAAGCTTTGGAACCACTTAAGAGTGAGTAATTAGTGAATAAATGTTTCTATTTGGGGCAATCTCTTTAAGGTGCAATTGGCGCAACCAATGAAATGTATTTTAAGAATCATTAAAAAAAAATCTCTTTTTTTAATGTTTGACTGGAAAAAAAAGTCACCTTGGAGGGCCTGAGGGTGAAAAAAATATTTAAAAAAATATCCAAGTAATCTTTTCAACTCGTCCCCTAAATTGTGTACTGGTAGACGGATGAGCGTGTTTTTGAAGTTTGCAGTAAACGGACCTGTAAAGGAGTTTACGTCACACATGTCAGTCAGAACTGAGTGAGCATCCTCTGAGCTCATTCAAAGGTGTTTAGACTCCCTTTTAAGCTGAAATCTTGGGTTTAAATTTATTGTACTTTTTTCATATTATGACCTGAGGTAATAAAACAAAAGAATGCTTCAAAGTAAAACTTTCTTCCTTGGTGTTGGAAACTGGGAAAGAGCATGAAAACACTTTTCATTCATTAACTGTCAATCTGTCTTCATTACTCCTGATAAATTTGGTGGCAGTAAGATTTTTAAAAGGTTTCTAAAAGTATCTTATCCTTACCAATTAATTTGATCAAAAAACACAGTCAAAATAGTAATGTGAAGATATTATTACAATATAAAATATCTGTTTTAGTTTTCATATAAACACTGATGCCACTTTATTAGGTACACATTTCTAGTACCGGGTTGGACTCCCTTTTGCCTTCAGAAAGACCTTAATCCATCATGGCATAGATTCAACAAGGTACTGGAAATATTCCTCAGAGATTTTGGTCCATATTGACATGATAGCATCACGCAGTTACTGCAGAATTGTGCACATCCATGATGCAAATCTGCCGTTCCACCACATCCCAATGGTGCTCTATTGGACTGAGATCTGGTGACTGTGGAAGCCATTTGAGTACAGTGAACTTATTGTCATGTTCAGGAAACTGTGGTCATAAAGGGATGGACATGGTTAGCAACAATACTCAGCTAGGCTGTGGTGTTGACAGGATGCTCGATACTAATGGGCTCAAAGTGTGCCATGAAAATATCCTCCACACCATTACACCACCACCACCAGCCTGAACCATTGATACAAAGCAAGATGGATCTATGATTTCGTGTTGTTAACACCAAATTCTGACCCTACCGACCAAATGTTGAGGCAGAAATTGAGACTCATTAGACCAGCCAACATTTTTCCAACCTTCTATTGTCCAATTTTGGTGAGCCTGTGCAAATTGAAGCCTCAGTTTCCTGTTTTTAACTGACAGAAGTGGCACACGGTTTGGTCTTCTGCTGCTGTAGCCCATCCACCTCAAGGTTCGACGTGTTGTGCTTTTAGAGATGCTAAACCATGTCACGTTTAGTGACTTAAATATTTCGCCTTTCTTCCCCATTCTGATGCTCGGTTTGAACTGCAGCAGATCGTCTTGACCATGTCTACGTGCCTAAATGCATTGAGATGCTGTCATGTGATTGCCTGATTAGAAATTTGCGTTAACGAACAGTTGGACAGGTGTACCTAATAAAGTGGCCGGTGAGTGTATATATTGCTGTGGTGGGCTTCACTGTCACATTTTTTAAAATTCTACTGACCTCATCTTTTGCATAGTACTAATGTATGACAATCATCCAGTCTTGCAGGTGGTATTATCTGCTTCTCCAGTTTGAATGGGCATTCATCTTTTACCTGTGGTGGTTGTTTTTAAACCATTGTACTTCTTTGCTATGCCTTTTGCTACTAAAATACTCAGAACTGTGCATTAGTGTGTTTTCCTTTTACACAATCATAAATCTTGTCTTCCAGTTTCCAGCAGAGATCTGCGAGAAGATTTTAGAGGGGGATGAAGTCATTCAGGTCAACGGACAGATAGTGGTAAGTGGTAACCGTTCAATGCTAATGATGTTTTTTTTTTGTTTTTTTTGTTACGCTGACTTATTTCTATAAAGGCTGCTGTAATTATAAAATAAGACAGGGGTGTAATGAAGCACAGTAAGACTCTTCATTTCACTGGATGACCCTATGCTTTATTTGAGCAGATGTCCTTTGTCTACTAAATTGGATCATCAATAGTTTGTGGTCTAATGTCCTGTAATTACTGATTGGCTCATGAGAAAAACAGTAGTTATTTTAGGCAAACTGGATCTCTCTTTGAAGCCGTGTAAATGATGTATCCATTTCCAGGTTGGCTGGAGCAGAAAAAACCTTGTTAAAAAACTAGAAGAGAATCCAGATGGAGTCACTCTGGTTGTGAGGAGGCTTCCGGGATTCCTGAAACGCAAGGAGAGCCGAGCCAAGTCTGAGGTACTGAGGCTTTTTCTTTTTTATACATTTAAAGGTATAGTTCAATCAAAATTACAATTCTATCATCATTGACTCTCCTTTTACCTGTTTAAAACATGTTAAACTTTCATTCTTCTATTAAACACTTCCTTTGTATTTTTGAAGAATATTGGAAACTGCTAGCAATTGACATTCATAGTGGGTTTTATTCCTACTATAGATTGGTAGTTTCAAAGACACTAAAATGGCTTTATATTTTAGACTATTTCAGCATGACACATGCTCGACATGATATGATTTTGTCATCAAATCTGATGCCCAAACCAGAAGTTCTACACTCATATTTTGCAAAGGAACCACATATAAGAACTGAGATTAGTTTTATTAATAGGGGGAAAAGCATGAACAATATAAAACATTTAATTAAGACATTACATGTGGCAGTGAGATTAATGTGTTAAAAAATGTAAATGTGTTGCTACCTGTTACTACATCGTAATTTTGATAACAAAAAGTCAAATTTTGACATTATTCAAAAGTGTTTCATGCTATGACTTTGAGTCTCATAATTATGTGTTTGTCATTTCACTTGTCATAACTATGCTTTACATAATCATGATTTTCTTCGTACCATATATGATCATCCCATGCAAGGGACACCCATCCTAAAATGAAAAAGCGATCTATATAGTTTCCTGTATTAATACCCAGTTTATATTGTGTAAAATGAATATTATAAATAGGTCAAAACTATGATTTTATTTTATTTCTTGTACTTTTACTACTAATCAGTCACACAAATTTTACAAATATACAGTGTTCGGCATATATAAGTACACCCCTCACAAATCTATCTTTTAAATTCATAAATTTAAAAGGAAACTGTACAATATTATATTTGTGCATATACATTAGATTAGTCAGTACTGAAGCGAAATCTAGAGCTTATCTAACAAAGTGACTTACGATAACAGTCCAAAAACTAGTACACCCAAATTTATGTTATAAAAAAAAATTCAAGGAAAAATCAAGAGAATCAAAGAAAATTGAAAATCAGCATTTTTTTTTTTGCAATATTTTGCTTGAATTTAATTATATTGTCTTTCAATTTCTAAATGTTTGGTGACTAAAATATTATTTTAATAAATATATCTGTTTAGTACATCTGTTTTGATTAAATGCACCAAAACACATTGCCTATACTGCCTGAGAAATGAATAAAAATATGTGTGTACTCTATTATGCTAAACACTGTATATATTCATTTATTTTGATGTAATTTGCATTTATTTGTTTTGTAATAGCTTTATACAATCATTTACAAATTATTCATGCTATTTTTTAAATTTCCCATATGCATATTAATTCACTCATTTTTGCTGTATGTCTGTACAAAGCCCCAGAGTGTTTTGACTGAGTTAATAACCAGCTAGAGATGAACACATGAGTCTCATGTGAGGAGCTGCAAGCATTTTACACTGTTGGTTCTTTTAGCGGTTGCTTTTGCAACAAATTTATTGACGTCACATGTACATACGTCACACGTGGTTGTGTTTGTTCGACGAGCAATACACACATTTCCTCTTTGTGACACCACCGCGAATACTCTCTTATTTCACATCCACAATTACAATAAACAAATGAAGGAGTTTTTTTAAATCGGTGTATATTGAGGAAATCATCATGACAACAGTTACCGCCTACACATCAATCTCCTGTGACTGCAAAAATCTACAAATATATATATATATATATATATATATATATATATATATATATATATATAAATTCTGGTTTGTGTGTGTGGTGTGTAGTGTGTAACAGCAGTCATGTGGCTTTTAAAATGATTGGATTTGACGTGACCCTGAGGGACTGAATCCTCAAGGATTTCTGACAAACACACACAAACACACCAACCTCAAGCTGATGAATTCAGACACAAGATGTTCCCACAAAACTTTCTGAGCTGTCATGAGCATTTTCTTATGCTTTGCTTTTCAGTTTTGTCTTTGCTTTCATTTGTAATACTTTGAGTAATCTTTATGAATATGGTCCCACTTAATATTAAGTGGACTTGACTACTAAGTACTGGCATCAAAAATAGATACAGTGTGGTCACTGTGTTATTGAAAAGCACTTTTGATGCTCTTGAGGTGGGATATGGGTAGGGTTAGGGACAGGTTTGGTGGTATGGTTGAGTTTAAGGTAAGGGATGGTCAACAGTGGGGAGGGTAAAGATCTAATTACAAAAAATAATTACAGATGTAATTACATGCATGTAATTAATCAATCATAAATGCAATGTAAAAAGTGTATTTACACAATAAATACATTGTAATAAATTATTAATTTCAGATTATGTACATATTATTTAGGGCCACTTGATATTCACCTTATTCTTTGCGTATGAGATGGCTCAGCTATTTAAGTCTTTTTGGCTCAAGATTTCCGGTCTTATTCACTGCCATTCATTTTTAAACGTTAAAAACAGCTTGTTATGCTGCTTGATGTTGCAAACTGATATTTTCTTATTATATCATTCTGCTTTGTCTGTTTTGTCATGAACACACTTATTTGTGAATCAAGTAGTTTTCATGTGGATCAAGTAGTTTGACCGTTTGCTGCCGTTTATTATTCCTAGTCCTCTAGGCAACTGAATCGGAGGTTCTAAACCAGTGGTCACCAAACTTGTTCCTGGAGGGCTGGTGTCCAGGAGATTTTAGCTCCAACCCTAATCAAACACACCTGAACAAGCTAATCAAGGTCTTATTAGGTATAGTTGAAACACCCAGGCAGGTGTGTTGAGGCAGGTTGGAGTTAAATCCTGCAGGGACACGGGCCCTCCTGGACCGAGATTGGTGACCCCTGCTCTAAACAATCCCAAAAACGAACGCACTACCGCATTAAAGAATCAGGTCAATAAAGTGGGGCCATGGTTATTTTAGAATTTGGCTAAAAAATGAAATAGTTTTTAAAGTTTTTAAAATTGTCCTTTTTTTTTGCTGTAAGTTTTGGTAAGACTTAAAGTTATATTAGCTAATATATTGACAATAAACAATACTTGTATTGCATTTATTAATCATAGTTCAACATTTACTAATGCTTTTTTTGAAATCTAGTTGCGCTTCTTAACATTAGGTCATCTAATTGTTAATCTAAAATAGCAAAGAGCTACTTTATTTTCCTTAACTAAAGTTTGTGTAAATTTAATTCTGTAATGTGTCATATTAGTAAATAACTAACATGAACTAATGGACCATGATTTTCAGGTGTTACCTTTAAAAGTAAGTAATTCATTTTTTAAAGTATTACTTTTTTTCTAGTTATCGAAATCTTTTTATTGTTTTATTTGTTTAATCAATGGTCGGGACACATTTTGTATTTTTTAAAAACCAATATTTTATGTTTCCTGTTTTAATTACATTTTAAAGTTTAATCTATTTAATTATGTGGTTTTGTAAGTTTGTATGTTTTTTTATTAATATATCTAATATTTATTTTTTATTAAGATATATTCCATTTTTATTTACACATCACCACCTTTGAATTATAAGGTTTTTCTGAGCAGTTTTAAAGTATTGAGCTTTAAAGTTATTTTATTCAATACAGCAAAAACGTATGGGAATAAATCTCTTTCAAACATGACAGTGACGCTAAAGGCGATCAAAATCTACAATATCAAAATCCTGACTAATTTGTAAGATTATACACAGTACATCTCAAACATATAATTCAAAGGTTTGTTTAAAATAATCCTAAATTAGATATTAATTTTTTTTTCTTTATTGTTTTTTAAACGCAACGACTTACGAATTTGGTCCAACAAACATTCACACAACAATTGACAATAAAACATGCGATATACAAACAACACATACAGAAGTATAGTGATTTTAGATTAATACAATTATAAATAAATAAAAATGACAAAAAATAAATAAATAATAATAAAATCAAATAAATGCAAAAATAAATAAATAATTAAAAAAAAAACAGAATACTGACCTTCTTTTTTAATCTAAATTAGTCTACTCCTTTTCAATTTAACTATTTCCTGCAGAATTTATGTTTTTATATAATTTCAGTTTTAGGGAGAATCTGATTTTCTTCAGTTCCAAATGTTTCATTACATTCTTCATTAGATGTATATATGTAATATTGGTTGCCTAAAACCTGTTATAACTATCACACTCTAATTAAATGTAGAAACCATTCAAATGAAATAGTTTTCCTTTTTGTCCTCAGACTATTGCTTTACAACCACAAACAAAGACACAAACCTCACAACAACATACAGTACTTACCATGATCCTTCACAAGACATGAACATGTGCACATGAACTCATCACTGCCACACAAACACACACACACACCTCCATCTCTCACCACAGTAAAACGCTGGAGTTGAGTCAGTCTGTGTGGTGACACTGGGTTTTTCCAAACATGGATCTCTCATATTCTTCACTTTCAGAGAGAGGAGCCTGAGGAGGGAGAGGAGGAGAAAAGCAGACACTCTCTTTTGGGGAGGGTGGCAGCTTCCGTCCGCTCTCTATCCTTCAGGTGAGCTCAAACATGTTTCTAACCATCCATTTACAGGGTTTTCAGCTCTCCTATTTGATGCTTGTTGTTTAAACACTGAGGAGAGGCAATTGTTAAAGGTTTTACAGAAATGGGATCTTTTTTCCTGCTTCTTTCGAATGCTTAGCACTGATTCTGTTTTCCATCTTTTTACTCTTTTACTGTAAAGTGTTCTGTGTATAAGAAGTGAAAGTCTCCATTTCTCTACCTGCGAGTTTCATAATCTAAATTCTTGTTTCATAACTGTTTTCTGTGAGCTACAGTGAGGACATACGAGCTTTGCTCTATCTCAGGTCTGTGTGTGTGTGTGTCTCTGTGTGTGTGTGTGTGTGTGTGTGTGTGTGTGTGTGTGTACTGGTTTTGGTTGTTTGCAAGTTTTTTTGTATAAGGACATGGATATGACCTAGTTGTACTCTATTATGGTGGTTTATGCCTGATGTCCTTTCAATGTAATTCAAAACGTCTTTTGACATATAAATTTTGCCACAGGTTTTTTGTGCGGGTTTGGTTTAGGGCGAGGGGTGGTTTAAAGCTTTAAAATTAGCATTTTTTAACTGTATAAAATACATTACACCTACAGTAGAGTCCTTATAAACCACCAATAACAACATGTGTGCATACAGTATCGATGCGCTGGATTTGAATGCACTGTAAAAAATGGTGGGTTTCACACCATTGATTTGTGTTGGGACAACATAAAGGAATTACTTATTTGTTTTTACAATTTAAAAAAAAACTAATGAATTGTGTTGCTTTAACTCATTTTAAAAAAAAAAAGTAGTTTTTAGTTTTTAAATAAGTAACTAACTTTTTTTGAGTTTGTGACCTATAGTGTGTTTGGTAGGTTTTCATAGTATTAAATCTGCTTTTGTATATCTGGCACTGCATAGGACAGCCTAGTGTTGTCAATTCCTGTTGTTATATGCTAATACATTATGTATGTATGCATGTGTATGTATGTGTGTATGTATGTACACTAAGTTTGGGGTCATTTTTTTATTGTTTATTTCATTTAATATTTTAAAGACAATTGTTCTGTTCTTTAAGGCAGCATTAATTAAATGTAAAAACATATTGTTAAATTCTTATTTAATAATATTTATTTATTTATTATTGTATGTAGTTTCAAATGAAATTATAACTGCAGTTATTATTGCTTTTATTACTATTACCATTAATAATTAATAATAATAATAACAACAACAACAATAATAATAATAATAATAATAATAATAATAATAATAATAATAATAATAATAATGATAATGATAATAAATATAGAGTGATTTCTGAAGAATCATGTGATTCTGAAGGCTGGAGTAATGAAGCTGAAAATTCATCTTTAAATTTCTGTAATAAATGATTAAAATAAATTGTAATCCATATTGTTATTTTATAGTGCAATGACATTTTACAATTTGTACTGTATTTTAGATTTATTTATTGTTACTATTATTATTATTATTATTATTATTATTATTATTATCATTATTATTATTTATTTTTATATATTTTTATTTTTTATTATTTGTTTATTTATTTATTTTTTATTTTATTTTTTTTATTTTTGAAGGGGAGGGAGGTTGTTCATGGGGGAAAATGTAACAAAAAAAAAAAGAAAAAGTCTTGTCAAATCCTGTTATGTAATAATTCACCTTCTATTTCTTTCAATAAAAAAATTTGATAAATAAAGACAGGCTTGGTGAGCAAGAAAAACTTATTTTAAAAATTTAAAAATCCTACTGTCTCCAAACTTTGACCCGCAGTTGAAGTATAGCCCCCCTTTGATTATTTATTTTTATTTTTTTTCCAAATTATGTTTAGTCTCATTTGTTTTATTTTGGCTAGAATAAAAGCAGTTTTTAATTTTTAATTTTATGTGAATTTTTTAAGGTCAAAATTAAATAGTCTACAGAACAAGCCATCGTTATACAATAACTTGCCTAGTTACCCTAACCTGCCTAGTTAACCTAATTGACCTAGTTAAGCCTTTAAATGTCACTTTAAGCTGTATAGAAGTGTCTTGAAAAATATTAAGTAAAACATTATTCACTGTCATCATGACAAATATACAATAAATCAGTTAATAGAAATGAGTTATTAAATATTAAAACTACTGTTTAGAAATGTGTTGAAAAAAATCTGATCTTTGTTAAACAGGAATTGGGGGAAAAATAAACAGGGGGGCTAATACTTCAGGAGGGCTAATAATTCTGACTTCAACTGTATATGAATGAATAAATAAATATGTCCCAGTTGGAGTTGGGATCTCTCCAAACCCCTAAATGTTCCCCGGATAGCCCAGTTATTGTGAGTCTCATGGATAAAAGCATCTCCTAAATGCTTAAATGTAAATGTATTTCTGTACCACAGATCAGCAACAGACAGCACACATCATTTCAGGCGGGAGAAATCGGCTCTCGCTAATGATCAAAGCTCCAATGAATATCAGTCAGGCACCCTAAAACGGCTTCAGCCAGGAACAGGTAAGAGTCGCTGTAGACTGGACAAAAAATGTGTACAGACTTGTACTATTCTGTCTATCTAAAGTAATAAACAATTTTTCCACAAAATGATAGTAAATGCAGTATGTACAGCTCTTACACTGCAAGTCAACACTTTGAGTTTAGTCATTTATTACAAGACTTCTTAGACCTTGGGCAAAAGTGACCTTAAAGAATTGTATAATATTGCACAATGTTTTATTTCAAATAAATGTTTTCTATTGACCAAAAAATGCATTAGTTTACACAAAAAAATAATTAAATAGATTTTTTCAAAATTGATAATAAAAATATTCCTTTAGCAGAATCAATATATAAAAATTATTTCTTAAACATTAATTGACTTCATGTTTTTCTAGAAAATCAACATACATGGTTATAATAAATAAATGCTTCATAAATGAGTAGGACTTCACCTTTTTTGAACCTAAATATACTAGAGATGCTCATTTTGGCAGAGCTGATGCTGCTAGCTTTTCTTTTTTGTATGCAAAGTGTTTAATTACAGGTTAATTTACATTTTTCTATTTCCCATAAGTGTTTACTTTTTTATTATAAAGAGCTGACTTGTGATTTTATGACCTCAATTGATGCTTTCTAGACATAACCAACTTTTTTTTCTTTGATACTTCTTAGTGTAACACAGCAGCCTCTGTTTAAATTATGCATATGGTAGTCACTATAACCCAGGAGGCTGCTTGGCAGAAATACTGCAAAGAATAAAAGTATTGATAGGGCAGATACTGAATTAAGACCTGTATGATTAATGTTAATAAGTCAATCCTCATACAGTTGAAGTCAGAATCATTTGCCCCCCTGTGTATTCTGACCAATAAATCAAGCAAGAATAGATTTTTGTTTTTACTTCATTTATTTAGTACTTATTCAGCAGAGGTTAAAGTGCTACAGAAGGTATTTTAACTCGGTGACAGATATTGTACACGGAGATATTCTGTACTAACGTTTGCAATTTCAAGTCAGTGATCCAAAACAGTTTATATAAAACAAACAATCTCAGATTGCTGACTTGATCTTACTATGAGTGCTCCACTCAGAGCTTCATGTGAGTTAGCCATAGCTACTTATTTACAAGTACATGGATTTTTAAAAAATCTATTATGGTTAACAATTTAGTCCACGGTGACTATATATTCTGTCTTACTACCCAGCCTTAAATTACTCATCACACATGAAGACAGTGACTAGCCACCACCTATCTGCTGTGTATACAGTATACAATTGAAGTCAAAATTATTGACCCTTCTGTCAATTTCTTCTGTTGGGCACCCAACCTGCAGTCTGTGTGGGTCCTAACGCCCTAGTATATTGATGGGGACTTTATACTGCTCAGTAAGCACTGTCTTTCGGATGAGATGTTAAAACGAGGTCCTGACTCTCTCTGGTCATTAAAAAAAGAGTAGGTCATTAAAAAAAAAGGTCTTTGAAAAAGTAAGGGTTTAACCCCGGTGTCTTGGCAAAATCTATCCATCATGGCCTCCTAACCATATAATGATTGGCATAATTGGTCTCGTCTTCATCAATCAGCTGATGTGTGGTGTGCAGCCTGGAGCAATATGGCTGCCATCGTGTCATCCAGGTAGATGCTGCACATTGGTGGTGGATAAGGAGAATCCCCCACCCCACCATTATGTAAAGTGCTTTGAGTGTCTAATAATTCTGACTTCAACTGTAAATATCTCAAGCATACAAGCACAAAAAACACACTAATCAAAATATTGATCTCAGTTATGAGTGTTAAGAAAAAAAAGCAGCACAACAAATACTGATATATCATTTATTAATCATGCTCTTGCTTATAGACTCTCCGCGTGCGAGTCGAAACAGTTTGGAAGTAAAAATATCTGCAGAAAGAAGTCCATCCCCCCAGGAGCTGAACCGCTCCAGCACCAGCTCCTGTCCTGATATGGCAGGACTAAGAGTAAGAACACTTTGCACCTTTTCCTAGTCAAAAAGCAAGATGTGTTTTTGGAAAGCTACTCTATTGATTTTTCACCCTTCAGCGTGGTACACTTGAGTGCACCATGAGTCATTGAGAAGCCATTTGTTTGACTCATTTTATAATAAAGTGTTTGATTGTGCCAGATCAGATGGCATCGGCAGAAGGTCTGTTTTAAATTCTGTGATCGCCAGCTAATTATACGTTTCTTTTTACCACAGGAGGAAAAGGAGAATAAGAAGAGCTCTACTAAAGGTCAGGCATGGACATATGCTCATTCACTATTTTCTCTAGAGTTTTTTTTTTTTCTGTTCAATCCAAATTAATGACTCTTTGTTGATTTGTGTTGTATTTAAGGAATGCGGACAGCGATGAGCCGCAGGAGGGTGTCCTGTCGTGAACTCGGTCGTCCTGACTGTGACGGATGGCTCTGGAAGAAGAGAAAAGAAGCAGGCGTCTTCATGACTCAGAAATGGCAGAGATTTTGGTTCGTCCTGAAAGGTCCAACGCTGTATTGGTATAACAGCCAACAGGTTTGTATGAATTTACTTGTAATTCACTACCAAATTTAATTCTACTTCTCTTAAAATATTCTCAGAGGCGACATGGTGGCTCAGTGGTTAGCACTGTCACCTTACAGCAAAAAGGTCACAGGTTCAAGTCCCAGCTGAGTCAGTTGGCATTTTTATGTGGAGTTTGCATGTTCTCCTCGTGTTTGCGTGGGTTTCCTTCGGGATGCTTGGGTTTCCCCAACAAGTCCAAAGACATGCGGTATAGGTAAATTTAATAAACTAAATTAGCCGTATTGTATGAGTGTGAATGAATGTGTATGTATGTTTCCCAGTACTGGGTTGCAGCTGGAAGGGCATCTGCTGTGTAAAACATAAGCTGGATAAGTTGGCGGTTTATTCCAATGTGGCGACCCTTAATGAATAAAGGGACTAAGCTGAAGGAAAATGAATGAATGAATGAATAAAATATTCTCTCAGATCTATCACTCATTAATAACCTGACTTGTCTCTTTGTTTTAAGATGAACTTTCACTTTACTTTCACTTACTTTATGTGCATAACAAACCTTAAAAAACTTTCTCCACATGAGGCTAATCGACATGCTATTATGACAGCGTTTTATATAAATATTCTTGTGATTTGATCTATTTATATGAGATTAACCAGTGTGTACATTTAAAATGCTGAGCATGTGTAACAATTAGCTTTTTCAAACAATGCTAAAAAAATTAATTGTTTCTGCTTTATTATAAGACCTTTAAGATATTTTCGTTCAAAATCAGGAGTTATTACAAACTGTCAGCAGTTGTATAAATTTGATTTTGAGTATATGTGTAATATTTTTGCTGTTTAATGTTGTAGGGATACACAGATATGGTAATTGTGCTTGGATGCAGATAACCAACATTATTAGCCCTCCTGTGAAATTAAATTATTTCTCAAATATTTCCCAAGTGGCGTTTAACAGAGCAAGGAAATATGGAAATCACTGGTTTTCCTAAAATATTTTTTTTCTTTTAGTGACATTATTATAATTTCTTTTATTTTGACTGGAATAAAAGCTGAAATTATTATTTTATTAAACAATTAAAAAGTCTTGATCACGTTTTTTATTAGGGCTTAAATTTTGTTCAAGCGTTGTCCAAAATGTTTGACTCCAAAAAAGGCATAAATATATTTATTTTCCTCCTAATATTAACAACGGCTTGCTCGATCCATGTTGTTGGTTCAGGCCGGAGCGTCTGGCCAAGCTCATCAGTCCGGGTGATGTCACGTCATTTGTGCGAGAAGGTGATGTGACTCTCTCCACATTAAGAAAAAACCATAGAGCGAAACAGACAGAAAAATGGGAAATTGTCAGTTTGCGTACTCCTGGATGGAGAAAGACAAGTAGCTGAAACCTATGCTGAAAACAACCACGTAATTTATTCTTTCAAGCTTTGCTTCTTTCGAGTTCTTTTGTATGGTTGTGCTCCATTGATTTATTTAACTACAACTGTTTATTAACAACTTTTTATTAAGGTAAAAATTTGATAGTGATTACAGCTTGAAGTGGCGATGGGATCTTAAAATATTCTGATAAGGTCTTTAAAAAGTCTTAAAAAGGTATTGAAGTTACCTTTAGGATTCCAGCATATTCCCTGTAGAAGTTCTAGTAATTTAAAACTGCGTCAGTCTAGTTTTCAGAGTTCAGTTCAGTGTGGTTTAATTTTCACTGCTGAAAGTCCAAACACTAAAGAGAAAATCCATTGATGTCCATCGAAATCCATCAAAGTCCCAAACCAGGCAAGCTAGTGGGAACAGTGGCGAGATTGCATGTCAAGCTGAATAGTACTATCTTGCAAAATAACTGGTGAGATAACACTTAATTTGTCACCATGCCAAAGACATAAAAATAACTATTAGAAATGAGTTATTAAAGCACAAAAACAATCTCTTCAAGAAACAGCACTTGGAAAATAATTGAAAAAGAATTGTCAAAGGAGGCGATGCAGTGGTGCAGTAGGTAGTGCTGTCGCCTCACAGCAAGAAGGTTGCTGTGTCGCTGGTTCGAGCCTCGAGTTGGCGCTTCTGTGTGGAGTTTACATGTTCTCCCTGCGTTCGTGTGTGTTTCCTCCGGGTGCTCCAGTTTCCCCTACAGTCCAAAGACATGCGGTACAGGTGAATTGGCTAGGCTAAATTGTCCTGAGTGCATGAGTGTGTGTGTGAATGAGTGTGAATGGATGTTTCCCAGAGATGGGTTGCGGCTGGAAGGGCATCCGCTTCGTAAAAATGTGTTGGATAAGTTGGCGGTTCACTCTGCTGTGGCGACCCCGGATTAATAAAGGGACTAAGCTGACAAGTAAATGAATGAATGAATAAAATTTCAAAGAAGGGTAATAAATTTGCCTTCAATTTTAAGTTGATACATGCAATAATAACAAATGGAAATTATATTAATTTTTGTTTGCAAAAACACACATTGCTGACAACTTGTTTTTAATTTGATTAATTTAATCTTAATTAACCAGTTTATCATATCAAGCTTATCTTTATCAGCCAGAGTTATAATATCAGTGCATCTCCAACTCTGAAGAAAATCTACTCATACACACAACAAAGTAATTACAGAAGCCATGTTTCTGTTACAGGAGGAGAAGGCGGAGGGCTTAATCAAGATCGGCAGCTACAATATTGAGAGCGCAGGAGAGCACAAGAGGAAGTAGTGAGTATCTTCCTGCATTATACAGAACACGCAGCCGCTGGTTACCCATTCATTATCTGCAGGCGTTTCTGTTGACTGAACAACATTAAACTCCATTCAGCGATGCTGTTTGTGTTCACACTGTATTAAAGAAACAGAAGTCGGCTCTGAGAGTGAGAGCAGGAGACGCGGGAGGGCAGTTAGCCAGAGATGTGTGAATAAAACAATTACACTTTACATTCCTCAGATCTTCCCCCGCAGAACAGCACAACCTGCCACCATGATGACAAATGACTCTTCATTTTTTCATTAAGCTGCTAAAGCCTCTGCCACGAGATTAATGATTACTATCATCTGATCTCTTTCTCTTCTCTCTCTTGTCTTCTAGTGTATTTAAAATGTGCCACCCGCGCTTCCAGAATTTTTTCTTCGCTGCTGATAACGTCACCGACATGAGCAAGTGAGTGTGGCCGCAAAAATAAACAAGCATTTTCTCGAAACGACAGCCAGTCTTAACATTATATGTTAGAAAGCATTTTGCAAAAAAGATTATTAAGTGGCGAAATGTCACGGTAAGTAGATCTCGCTGTGCACCTGCAGCTTCTCATGTGCAAATGATTGTGCTTTGACCTTTTGAATTTAAATAGATTCATTAGATGCAGGGATCCTGGGTTTGTAAAGATAGAGTCTGCAACTTCTGTGATGTGAAAGGATTTTTAGGTTAGTGTGAATAGACAAGTATAATAAGGGCAACTTCAATGGAATTCTGAATAAATAGCATATACTGACAGCTAATGCCCAGTGTGCGGCTTTAGCTGAGTTTCTTACTCTCTCTCCACTGTTTTATTCATTAAATGAATTATGCAAATGAGGTAATGGTGTAAAGACAATCTCAAAATTTATGCCGAGCACACTTTGCACGATACTTGTGAGTGCTAAAACTACCATGATCTAGCTTGGGCAATTCATTCTTAATTATAACAATGCAATACAATATACATATACAATGAATATGTACAATTTTAAAGGTGCAAGTTAAATAGTGCAGTGATTATAGGGAGTGTAGGTTATGAAGAGAGTGTGGGGTCTAAGAGGAGTGGTAAAAGAGTCAGTGGGGGGCAGAGTTCAAAAGGGAGACAGTTCTGGGCAAAAGGCTGTTCTTCAGATTGCTGGATAGTATTATAGAGGCAAACATTCATTCATTCATTTTCTTTTCAGCTTAGTCCCTTTATTATTCTGGGGTCACCACAGTAGAATGAACCGCCAACTTATCCAACATGTTTTACACACCGTATGCCATTCTAGCTGCAACCCATTACTGGGAAACATCCATACACACCCATTCACACACATACACTATGGAAAATTTAGCCTACCCAAATTAACCTATAGCACTCTAAGGAAACCCACGCAAACACAGGGAGAGCATGCAAACTCCACACAGGAACGCCAACTGACCCAGCCGGGGCTTGAACCAGCCACCTCCTTGTTGTGAGGCGATTGTGCTACCCACTGCGCCTACCCACTGCCCCTCTAGAGGCCATGGTAAAATAATTATTTGGTTAGCTTACATTACTATAATATCACTGGCTGATAGAAATGCTCAGTTGTGAGCAGAATTTTTGTGCAAATCTATTGGAAGTATTCAAACTACAGCGAACAATTTACTGCTAGGACATTTATATTTGTTTTCCAGCTACATATAAGCTACATATGTTGTAATTAAAAATACTTGAGGAAAGTTCACCCAAAAATGAAAGTTCTGTCGATATTTACTCAGCCTCATCCTGTTCCAAACCATACATGTTTTGGATCAAATCTGAGAGCTCCCTCATCCTCCTTAGACAGCAATAGTCCTGACTCATTCATAGTCAATAGAGGCACCAAAAACAGGGCAGAGCACATGACTTCAGTTAGTCTATCCAAATATTACGAGGCTACGACAATCGTTTTGTTTACATATAAAACAAAACTGGATTTAAAATAATGCACAGGTATATCTGATGTAATACATGTCAGAAGTGTAAAACAAGCCCCTTTTACACATACAGACCTTTCCGGAAAAGTACCGGCAATTTTCCGGAAAGGTCTGTATATGTGAACAGGCCCTTTTTGAAAATACCGGTAAATTCATTCCAGCTATTTTCCGGAAAGAGAAGTTGTAACATTACCGGTAAGTTGCTGAAATGCTGCGCTGTGTGAATGCAGAAGGAAGATTGCCGGAAACATCGCGTTCACGTCTAGAATGTGCTGATGCAAGACGTCTACTTTAGCCAATCAGAACAGTCAGATGCATTCACGTCCACGCTGTTTGTGAAAATAAAAGCCTGTGAATGTTTTCCCAGACACATTTAGCTGCTAGATGTTAATCAGATAACATTTCTATGTTCCTTCTTAATGTCAACGGGGTAAATAATTATCGATAAAATGCTTATGATAAGCGGTTATTTGTTTACCTTCAAGCTCTGATGCGTGTGCTGTGCACATAAAGCAGCTGGTGATCGCCCAGCTCACCACACACATATATGAACATCTCGACATGCGAAAGTGTTTCTCTATGCTTTCATCAATGTGTTTCACAACACTGATCTATCCACAGAGGTTGTAATGTAGCCAAATGTTTACAAATATAAGCGCAACCGTTTAGAGGGCATTACTGGTTAATGATGTCAGTATTTACCGGGGTGTTTTGGAATGGATGTGTGAATGGTCTTTTTTGGAAAAATTCAGGAACATCCGTGTCTGTGTAAACAGCGCTTTTTTTTATAAAGTCGGTAGAAGAACGGTAAAGTCGTTCCGGAAATTTTCTGGATATTTATCGGTATCACTGTGTGAAAGGGGCTTAAGTGTGACGTAAGTGCGTGCCCTATTCTGACACTGAAGAGAAAAAATGTCCTCAGCTTATTTTTTTTAATATTCACACAAAAGTATTCTCATAGCTTTAGAGTATTTCAATTAAAACAATGACACATGGACTTTATTTTTTTATTTATTTTTATTTTTTACGGATCATGGATTTAATCTAAAGTGTCTTAATTTGTGTTACAAAGATGAACAAAGGTCTCAAGGAGTTGTAATGACATATGGGCATGAGGGTGAAAAATTAACAATTTTTATTTTTAGGTTAACTAACACTTTTTTTTATATACTGATTTATTGTAAATTTTCTGTTTGGTAATTAAACTACTTGAAATCATTTTGTGACAATGTTTTTAGTACACAGTCATATAATTCAGCAGCCTCTGCAGTAATTCAGGCCTGAGCAGTTTATATAACAGAGCACTTCAGATTGAAGATCTTTCACATTGCAGGATTTGTCCCATGATGACCAGCCAGACTCAGGTGCTTGTTACCTCTAAATATAGAGCTGGTGATATGATGTTCATGAGAGAGCCCGGGGTCACTTAGGTTAGTCATCATGTATCATTCCCCACTGATTTGCCAATTGATAATATTAGTCTGCTCAGGTGACTCAGTTTGTTTCTTTTGAAGAGATGTATGCCTTTTATGTCCACTATTTCCAGGCACAGTCGTTCAGATGCTCTGTTGCCAGGTTGCAGTGGTCGATGAAAAGCCTCAGTATGAAACTCGATGATCTCTAAAATGACTGTTAATGAGTTTGACCTCATGAGCTTCAGTAAAGCAGTGATTCAGCAAACGTTGGATCAGATGGTCTCTAGCGCTCTAGACAAAGTAAATGCCAGAGCTTTTAACCTATTAAACACTCCAACTTACAGTTTAGCTGCTTATTATTGCTATTTTCGACAGCACACAAACGTATTTGTTCGTTTTCAGGCATTCGGGTTTTCTGACAGATCAACTATGCCCCCTACTGGTCAGCACTTAATACAATACAAAACAAGTTCTGTGCAAACGTGAAGTTTGTGGGACTTGTGAATTGCCTATGAGATAAATTTGTGTTTCATACTGTTTTTATCTTGTCCATTTTTCAACAGATGGATAAATTGCTTAATCACAGCAATTCAGAAACACAAGAAATATGCCCAGAGTCAGCCAGACAGTGAAGAAGGTATAAAAAAATCACACTCTTTTTTTAAATATAGCTGTTATGTCTGCACTGCTAAATTGAATTGTTCAGCTGAACAGAGCTAAATTACATCTGATTTCTGTACCTCTACTGAAGGTCTGTTATAACTTAAAACCATGGGACATCAAAACATCTGTAAAGAATAAAGTCAATGTGTCTTTATTAGTATTCGAAGTTAAATTCGTCGTACAGACAGGAAATTCAGCAGTCCAGGACTAAATTAGTTTCATAGAAAAATCAACATACTTTACAACACTATAAAAAGTATAATATATAAATAAATAAATTAATATATAAATGCTAAATGAATTGATTAGCAGTTTATTTCACATCTTCTAATGAGACAGGATCACTTTATCCATGTTATTTTTAATGCAGAAATTAGCTGTTGTTAGGAAATGTGAGAATGTGAATGCTTTTAGCACAAAATGTTTTACAAATAAGTGTTAATATTTAAAGGGATAGTTCTCTTTAAATGAAAATTGTCATCATTTACTCATTGTCACAAACTTGGTTGAGTTTCTTCTGTTGAACACAAAGGAACACAAACTGAAGTATGTTGGAAGTACATTGACTTTACTCAATATTTTTTGTATCTACTTTGGATGTCAATTCCTGCTTTTTTTCACAATATTCAGAATATCTTTTTTTAGTTCATAAATCATAAAAGTTTAAAACCATTTAATTCAGAGTAAATGATGACGACATTTTCGTTTTGGGGTGAACTGTCTGTTTAGGACAATACATTAAAGTAGAATGTAATGAGAGTTCAATTTGCAATATCAAGCATCATTCAGCTAAATAATTAGAAGGGAATTCAGACACATTAAATTTAGTCATTCTTTTGTGGAAAAACAATGCTAATGTGATGAACAGATTCATGGTTTTTGCATTTAAACTGAAACAAAGAAGCATAGATCTATCAAATTTAATTTAAAATGTCTTCATTTATCTTAAAAAAAAAAAAAAAGAAACTTTCTTTTGGATTTGCAATGAGAGGACTGACTTTGATTTGTAAAATGCTACATAAGAGCCTTCTTGGATATCACTCATGATAAATATATATATATATATATATATATATATATATATATATATATATATATATATATATATATATATATATATATATATATATATATATGATTGTGATTCTGGAAAAAATACATTTATAAGACCTCTGTGCTGTATTACGTTATGCTGCATATGCTGCTTTTGTGTTATATTTTCAATGACAGGATTTTGATGTAATTCTAGTTGTGCTGGATTTATGATTGAGGTTTCCTTTGTCAGACTGTTACAGTGAAACTGAGTCTGAGGAGGAATCATCACGCTCACCACTTCCTCATCGGAAGAAACTTTATACGGTGAGGATTAATATACACACGTGCAAACAGAGCACACACTCTCACAAACACACATGTACACACAGTTCTATACACGCATCAAAACAGATGATAATAAAACGTTATTTACTAGGATAGACCCCTTCAAGATAAAACATTTTTCATCTTCTGTGTGTGTATGGAACATCATCACATTATTTACACCGCTGTTCAATAATAACGGTAAAAAATATTACAAATTATTTTTAAAATATATTTTAATTAATTTATCTGATATCAAATCAGTAATTCTTCTAGTATTTGGTGTCACATGCACTTTCAGAAATCACTAGTTGATTTGGAGCTCATTAACATTTATTATCAGTTTCGAAAACATTTGTGCATTTTTATTCTCCGTTTGTGATGCTTTTATGTTCCTCTACTGCCAATTTTGATCAACTTACATGATCTTGCTCAGTAAATGTTATTTTTATGTTTAATTACCGATTACAATCTTTTTAGCTGTGATGCATTAAATTGACACTTCATCTTTATTATGCAGATAATTTTTGAACAAACATATTTAACGAGTATTTTTGAGCTGCTGGAACAAATAGAAAAATCCTCAAATTAATTTTGTTTAAGAATGATGACTCTTTCACTTGGAGATTAAGTACCTTTCCTTTGGAACAGGCTTAAAATATTGTCATCATTTTGTCACAGAAAACTCAAACTCAATCAAACACACTTCCTCGAACGAAAGTAAAGCAGAACAGGATGTCAGAGCCGATAACCATTTCACAAGCAACGGGCAGTAAAATTGCAGGTAAGGGAACTGCCCATCAGCTACTTTATATCTTATATCTACACATGCATAAAACCCTAAAAACCAAGCCTAGCATAAACAAGCAAATGGTCTCTGACCCTCAGGAAATGTAGATGAGATGGACGAAATGTTCAACAGTATAAAGAAAGGAGGAGTGACTCTGATTGGACAGAAGCAGCCGATGACTCACGACCAGCTCCGTAAATCCTTCATCAAACGCAACAAAAACCCGGTTATCAATGAGAAGATCCACACACTCCGTGCCCTGCAGAGCACATTGAAGGTCAGACACCTATTTTAAAGGGTCATGAACTGCCTTCTTTTATATAATGTTCTCTGAGGTATACTAAAAATCCTGATTTAGCACTAATAGGCTATTTTCTGTTCTGTTTTGACTCTTCATCAGAATACCAGCTGAATATATATAGCAGATTGTAGACTCAGAAGTTACACAGTTAAACAGTTTGGTTTATTTAAAGAAGTTGTGTGACAGGGATCTGACCACCGGTGTAAACTTTTCCATGTATGTTTGACAGTCTACATTCTTCATAGATGGACACTGCTGTGATAATGATAAAACCTTATTAGTACATATCAAATGATCTCTGTCACTTAGACTTTTGTGGTACAGAATTAATGTTGTATTCAAACTATTCAGCACAGAATTGTCTTTTATTTTCAGTCTTTTTGAAATCGGGCATATGATTGTGCCTTTTTTTAAAAACAAATCTGCTATATAATGAAGTAAACAAAGGACAAACATTCTAACTGATGTGTTCTGGAACTTCATTCACTCTTTCCTAATGTTGAGTTTAAAATGAAAGCAAAGAAATAGCAATAATTTTCACTGCCAGCATCAAGGGGGTGACCCAGAATCCAGGTTAAGTGACATACCTGGATAAGTTTAAGGATATGTAAGCGAAAAGCCTCAGCTTTATGTTGTAATTTACCATAGCAACTTATGTTTCGGAGCATGTTATTTTTTTTTACCTGAGCTGTGTGTGTGAGACGTGTGTGTGTGAGACGTGTGTGTGTGTGTGTGTGTGTGTGTGTGTGTGTGTGTGTGTGTGTGTGTGTGTGTGTGTGTGTGTGTGTGTGTGTGTGTGTGTGTGTGTGTGTGTGTGTGTGGGTGTGTGTGTGTGGGTGTGTGTGTGTTGGTGTGTGTGTGTTGGTGTGTGTGTGTGTGTGTGTGTGTGTGTGTGGTGTGTTTCTTATTCTTATTTCTTATTATTTTTTTAGTTTTCAATGAAACACTATTATGAAATAATATACATTTTTCCTGTTATTTATTTAAATCTTAAATCATGTGGTGGATCTGGATTTTTTTGCTTTGATATTTTTGTAACAGGATGCTTTCAAAAAATGCATCACCTATTTATTTTTGTTTTGTAAATATACATTACACTACCTAAAGTTTGGGGTCATAGGATTTTCAAATGCTTCAAAATAAGCTTATCCTGCTTACACAGGCTGCATTTATTTAATCAAAATACAGTACAAATTGTGAAATGCTATTGCACTTTAAAATAACTGTTTACAAGTAGTTTATCATTTAATTTAATCATTTACTCCAGTGATTTTAAAGATGAATTTTCAGCTTCATTACTCCAGTCTTCAGAGTCACATGATCCTTCAGCAATAACTCCAATATTAAATATTATTGTTGTTATTATTATAAATATTATTATTATTATTATCAATAGTAATAGTAATAAAATCTGTAATGACTGGAGTAATGATTTCATTTGAAACTACATACAATAAGAAAGCAGTTATTTAAAATTGTCAAATAATATTTAACAATTTTCCAACTTTACTTTTAATAAATGCTGCCTTGATAAACAGAATAATTTGTTTTTTAAAAAACATTTAAAAAAATAATAAAACTGACCGCAAACTTTTGACTTTTATTTGTGTGTGTGTGTGTGTGTGTGTGTGTGTGTATATGTATATGTATATGTATATGTATATGTGTATATGTATATATATATATATATATATATATATATATATATATATATATATATATATATATATATATATATATATATATATATATATATATATATATATTACACATTTAGGAAGAGATAATCTTGAACATTTTTTAAAAATCACTAATAATAATTAAATTATTAAAATATGCATGAACTAATTTGAAAAGGAGAGAGTAAAACTAATTTAATACCTGCTTCTGTAACAGAACAACTTTCTCTTGCAGTCTGAAAAAACATCTTCACACTTTTAAAGCTATTAAAGCACTGGTGCATTGTGATCTCCATATCACTCGTAGGACCAAGCGAAGCTGCAAATCATCTAGTGTGGTTTGCCTTATTAATAGTTTGTTTTGCATATAGACGTCTGTGACAGTAGTCACTGTACTGACAGGTAATGTGTAATTTGTTGTTCCATTTGTGTAAGAAAACAGCTTCTCGCAGTTTTTCACACAGTTTGTGTTTTGTCTGGTGCACTTTACCGCTGTCATTTTACTCTGCCGTCCCACTTCTTGCATGTTGTTGATGTGCAGGTAAATCGAGTTTGCGCTTGTAAACACAGAGCCCTCTTCTTTTCAAATGTATTGTGATTTATTCAATATTTCTACTGATTAGAATCGTCACATATTTTAATGGATTTTCAACTGGCTCACAGTGAACCGGTACATCCCTACAACTCAGTTGAGATGTTAAGTTAACCTTGCTTTCTGGAATTCACCCCTGAATGTCTTCAGAAGAACTTTATCAGTTGCTTTCTGTGTTGACCTACACATTCCTCTCATTATCTACTGTAATATGAACCTGTGGGAGAAACTAAACAGGCAGTGATGTATATCTTCAGTGGAGGTGGCGTTTATCCACAATATTATGTGGTGAAGTGGTTCATTCCACAACCTGATTGGCTCCAATATAAGCTTTTTTTTTTTTTTTTTGACTGACAACAAAAACAATTTTGAAATTTATGCATTGTTGTATAGTACAATGACCCCATATATGTTAAAAGATAAATAACTTTTGATTTCTTAGTTCATCTTCTCTTTCAACACTCAAAAACATGAATTTATTAGGATCACACAATGTTTCTCATTGGCTGCTTGTGTTTCCTAGGCAAAGGAGGCGGAGCTTCATCTGATCAACAGGATCCTGGAGGATTCCGAGTTCACACCGCAGAAGTATCGTCAGTGGAAGCAGTTCAATGAAGAGCTGCTGCAGGACATCGAGAAACTGCACAAACTGAAAGACTCCCCCAGCACAGACACAGCGAACAAGGTGAGCGACGAGGCGAGAGCACTGAGTCTGAGTGATGGAGAACAGCTGGTGGACGCAGATGCTCCCGATGATGGAGACTCAACTCCTACAAATGCACAGGTGCCCATGCAAACGCAGAGCACAGACACAGACGAAACATCTATAGACAGCTACTTTTACATATGACACGTCTACAGAACTTGCGACAATTAAATGGGAACGTTTTCCTCCTGTGCTATGGGGAAACGTAACTAAAACAGAACGTGCAACACTGGGATATGCGGACCTGAATTGCATAGTAAGATCTCTCTTCTGGAGTTACTTTACACATCTGCAAATGAACAAATCTACTTTAGGCACTTGCTAAGAACATTGATTATGCTGATGTATGTAGTTTTAAATAATATTTTAGATGAATTATATTGACATGATACATGTTTGTTTTTACTTCAGGTGTGTATGAGAGATTTGCATAATTAGGATTATGCCTTCGGTATGTTCTGATATGATAGACAACAAGAAAGTATTCCTTTTATACATATATTCTATTACTTTTATATCAGTGGGCTCAATTTACAGCTGGTATTAAAAGATGCATTTTTGTGTATTGGATCACAAGTAGACGACTCTGAATATAAGTGCAAATGGGGACTGAAGCATTTTGAGCTTGTCAACTGTTGAGCACTTCTGGAAGATGTTGAAAACTGGAGTGCGTTCATGTGTTCAATCCTATCAAAAGGGCTCCTATTTTATCCCTTTTTCAAGATTTAAGAGAAGTCTTTTGTATCTCCAGAATGTGTCTGTAAAGGTACAGCTCAAAACACCCATGAGATTATTTATTAGACCTTTCAGAATGCTGGATTTTCTGCTCTGAACACAATGTAGCTGTTTTTGTTTCCCGTGCCTTTAATGCTGGTTCTCCCCACCCACCGTTCCCACATGCCTGTCAGAGTGTGCCTCAATCTCCGCCTCGGCTGTGTCAGATAAACAGCACAATGATAGACAGGAAGGAAGCAGATCTCACGTAACGTTTGTGAGAAATACTACAGTAAGAACTTTCCCAATGATTATTCGATGTATTTGTTGTGGAGATAATTAGTTGACGAGAACAATGAATCACACACAATGTCGTTACAAAGTTTACACACGCACACACAACGCACACGTTTAACTTTGCATTGTTTTTGCACGCAAATGTGACAGGATACACTTTAATATCCACTGCTGTATGTATATCCGTTATGTTAATGTACAAAATAAACCTGATTTAACATCGACAATCCAGATTGAAGCGTCTTCTTTTATAATTATACTGACATGCGGCTGTGCTGATAAAGTAAAGACTTTTTTTAAACAAAGTAAAGAAATTGCAAACATGCACTGTGTTAAAAACGTTTTAAACATATAAAACTCATTCTTGATCACATTTGAAGATGATTTTTTGATCCAAGTTGCGTTGCGCACACTCCTACATCAAGTTGCGGTGGGCCTCAAAATGGGAGGGATTTGGATCCTATTTTAAAGTCCAAAAATGTGAAAAAAAAAAAAAAAAGAGGCTTATTTTCTTTATATCACCCCAATATGACAGTGGACACACTCTAATTACACACAGTTCTGTCTAAACAGCTTAAAAAAGATGATTTTCATCATAGGTGCCCTTTAAAGTGTTGTTAAATCACATTAGCTAAACAGGATTTAAACGTTTGGTTTGCTGGCAGTAAAATGTAAAATAAAAACTCAATGTTCTTTTGTTCTGACACAAACCTACAGAGCAGAAATGAAAGTATCCAAGTTGACAATATTAGACTGAAAGATCAGTAAAAGCAAATACTTTAAAAAAAAAAGCATGGAAGTGAAAAACGCTTGTAATTAAAAGTGGAAAACTTTATCTACTTGTGATCTCTTGGACAAAACTCATCGTAATGTCTAGTGTAAACAGGCCTAGACATTTTCTGGTAATGCAAATCCTGAAAACAAGTTCAGACTCAGCAAGTATATTTCCTGAGGAAAAGAATGGATACCTCATCGTGCATAGTGTTTGTATTGAATGCTCAGAAATGGTCATTTCCTCACTATTGCCACACAGTGGCGCTTGTGTTTTGTTCACGAGGAGCAGACACATTTCCTTTGAGATCTTTAGTGTTTTATCACAAGTGTATATTTCATGTTCATATGGTTGCATATGGTATCTAATTCTAAAATGTCAACTACTAAAACTTGATTATATTTTTTTCATTTCATTTAAGACAACAAATAGCCATCAAGTCATTATTTTGTTGTATCAAATAAGAGAAAATGAGAAAGTGAACAGTGAGTGTTAAATAAGTCATGTTTTTGCATCATCATGCACCTTTAGACCAATTGGATTTCCCATATATATATTATAATTTATTTCATCCTGCTGTTTTAATTTTAGTTTATACATATGCATTGACATTCAGATAAAAATGAAAGATGAATTAGAAATATGAGATCTGAGTCAGTTGCCTTATGTTTATACAAAGTGTACAAATACTGTATTTAAGCAAAGCCAAAGCCAATCTGTTCCTCTAGAATAGAATTGCTCCTTAAATAGTTTATTCTCACCGCTAATAAACTGTAAGCTGCATTCAAACAGGTATGTTTTGGTGTATATTTTAGTGTAACTACCTATCAGCCTAATTAATCAAGTCGAATTTGTTATTGTCTTGACCCAGAACATCTGCACATCTAAACTGAAGTAGACATGACATGTTGATGTTATATGATCTCAGCTCACTGTTATGTGGGAAATGGGAATGTACAGCTCAGGCTGTTGTGTATTTACCAAAACAAGTCATTTGATGTATAATAATTATTATTAGCATGACAAGCCAAAAAGTAGTCTGAGCAGACATGATGACTGAAATATGTCAAGCAGTCTGATTTTTCACATGTTGTTAGACGCAGGAAAAACATGCTTTGAAATGTTTAATCACTAGCCTAATGCATAAAGATTTAATCTTTATTTACAACAAAGATTTATCAAGCACATGTAGTAATTAATAATAGATCAGCATGTTACAGGAGCTCACCATTAATCCAAATATGAAACGTTTATCAGTCATAAAGATCGAGTACAATGACACAATACACAGGTCTAGTGGGAAAAGCCCAAAATGCCAACAACCTTGTGACAGAAGCGCATAGCTTTCTTTGTACAACAACATTGGAAAGAATGATACAGTATTGTCACGATGATTAGGTAAATCTGCTGTGTCTCATATGGAAAGGATCCATTCATAAAGTCATTTCTGTTTTTATTTTTAATGTCACGATTATTCATTTTGAAATAACATGGCATATGTGACCTTCAGAGAGTGCAGCCTTCTAAATGAGATACAGCTCATACATTCATTATGCTCTTATCAGCTGACCATTACCACAGAGAGCCTCCTTTACGTCACTGCAGAATTAAGAATAGCATGTTGGTGAGGCACACTTCATAAATGACGAAGCTTGACGTGAAATCTTAAAAATATGGCACTTATGTGCTGTACATTCATAAAAGCAGTGAAATGTAGTTCAAAGATCTAGTGCTGGTTTACACAGAATTACGATTAAAACAGTTGAATGCTAAAATGCATTCAGCAAGATCTGTTCTAAAAGGCCCACTCACACTGAGGATGATTCCCTAAATGCTTTAATATTTCTATAATTTAAGCGCACTACCTATCAAACGCCACTTATAAAGATAACTACACAGTCAAAGAATATCATATTAAGCTTTTTTTATACTGCTGATGAATAATGAAACATTGAGCCAATCAGAATTCACTTGGCTATAATGAGCTTAAGTTGCGCGCTTACATTAAACAGAGGATTATCATTGATGTGGACACTAATATGGCTACTACATTTGTCATTCTAAGTGTGAGTGGAGCTTAAAGAAGATGGTTCACCCAAAAATTATAATTTACTCGCCATTTATTGGCCCTGAAGTGGCTCCAAAATTTGAGTTTCTGTTAAAAGCAATGTGGGAAACTAGTAGCCACTGACATCCGTACTGGGGAAAAATACTATAAAAATAGTCACAGGTTTCCAACACTCTTCAAAATCTTTTCTTTTGTGTTTAACATAAGAAAGATACTCTGACAGATTTGGAGAGTGAGAAATGAATTGCAAAATTTTCATTTTTTTAATAAATTATCCCTTTACAGCAATGGTCTCAAACTCAATTCCTGGAGGGCTGCAGCTCTGCACAGTTTAGCTCCAAACAGCTCCGACTCACACCTGCTTGATAGTCTCTAGTAGTCTTGAACACCTTGATTAGTGTGATCAGCTGTGTTTGATTAGGGTTGCAAAGCTGCGGCCTTCCAGGAATCGAAGCTGAGACCTGTGCTTTAAAGCGTCTGGAAACAGTTTAATATGTTTAATACTTCAGTAATCTTTTGTTCTGTTTCACATTACTTTATCTTGTTCATAAACACTACAAGCTGCACTCCAATCAGTCATGTGCAAGCTGTGTTTGAACCCTAAGGGTGCTTTCACACTTGATTTGATTGCCTGGTCCCCACCAGAGTTTGATTGGCACTCCTTTTCCTTGCTCATGCTAGATTGTGTTTACATTGTGGTACTTAGTTCCGTGGTACATTTGCGTTATAGGAGTAGCCGAGATGTAGCTCTGTTGCTATAGGGCATCTTTGCTGTAGATGTCAAAATGAATCAATTCTTGTTTAATTTTACTATTTTGAAAATTGCAATGCTGCGGTCACATTAGAGTTTGTGCCTGCAAGATTCGGTTGTACTGCGCAGCGAAAAGGAGCGGGATTAAACAAGATGATTAGTAGGGGTGTCAAAAGTAATTGTTTCTTTGGTGCACCGCGATGCAGATGCGGACAATTCGGTATCGGTTCAGTAATTTTTTTTTATTTTTTTTTCATTTGCAAAAAAACAGTTGACAAGTTTGTAACAATATTTGTTTACAATGCAGAATATGAATTACATTGTCAATGAAAAGAGATATGAGAGAGAAAGACAGAAAAAAAAGAATAAAGAACATGATATGAACTTGAGCGCTCGTTTTTTCAATTGTTTCAGAACTGTTAGGAGAAATTACTAGGAATGATAAACGGAAAAAAAAACTGTTAAACTACTTGCTCTACAAACAAGTGTGTTCATGACTAAACAGACAAAGCAGAATAATATAATAAGAAAATGTCAGTTTGCAACATCAAGCAGCATAACAAGCTTTAACGTCTGAAATTGAATGGAACTGAATGAGACAGGAAGTCTCGAGCCAAAAAGATTCAAATGGCTGTGCCCACTGGTACATGAAAAATAAGGTGAAGCAGCTAATCAAGGTCTTGCTGGGCTTACTAGTACCTTCAATACAGGTGTGTTGGAGCTAAAGTCTGCAGGACAGGCAGGCACCCTCCAGGACCAACTTTGGACAACCCTGATCCAAACTCTTGACACAAATATTCTAGCATGAATGCCCCCTAAGAGTCTCTTGAGTCCTCTGAAATGTTTGGTCCATCTAACAGTTCACCGCATACATCTCTGTACTGTCCTTGAGTCTCTGTTTGCGGCAGAATGAACACTTCATGTCTTTGAACCCGTAGAGCAGTGCAATCCCTCCCAGCACCTGTACACAAGCTCCCACCCACCCGAAGTACAGCGATCCAGCCGGGTGTAGAGTTAGTCGGGGTGGCTTGTGCGCATTGAGTCCTTGCGTCTCTGATAAATTTGAATCCACATCAATCCCCAGCTTGGAAAGATGGCAAGTGTATACTCCTAATGCAGCCAGGCTGAGCACACCAGCCAGCGCCACCAACAGGCCACCAGCTGCCGCTACACTCCTCAGCGGGATATCAGTCCAGCAACGGACACCAATGCTGGCGAGCACGATCCCTGCTCCGCAAAGGAAGAGAGACGACAGTACCATGCCCTGGACCATCCGGACCCGAGAGTCCCGCTGGTAGGACCCTGACACAGGCCAGCATTCTTTGACCTCAGAGTGCACCACCTGCAGGCAGCTCTCCCATAGGCCATCCGAGCGGAGTAGGAGGAGCTCTGTTGCCCCACCCTTTCCAGCAGCACCCAGCCGCGCCTGACCTTCTCTCCACTGTGGCGTGATGGCAGCAGTGAACACCAGCACGAGGCCTAGAGGGGCGAACACCACCCCCATCAGCATGGATGCTGGAGTGTGCATCTCGTCAATGGGGATCTCTTCAAGATGAAACCACTGTTAACAACCTGGTGAGTAATAAATCAGATTCAGTTACAGACAGTGTTGATTATGACAGCAAATTTTGATTTAGTTTTAGTCTTAATCTTTTGACTTTGAATTGAATTTTATAAGATTTTAGTCAAATAGATGTACTACAAATATATTTGGTTTAATTTACGTGAAATTTAATTAAATTATTGTTTACAATTATTTATACAAAATATTCAAACTAATATAATAAATATTATAAAATATTCTAAGTCTTATTAGAATATAGAACTGCTTTTCCATTGCTGAAAAAAACATAGATATGCATTATTTATTTATATAATAAAGTGCGTCCGGAAAGTATTCATAGCGCTTCACTTTTTGCAAATGTTTTAATGTTACAGCCTTTTTCCAATATGGATTCAATTAATTTATTTCCCCAAAATTCTACACACAATACCCCATAATGATAATGTGAACAATTTTTTTTTTTTTAATTGTTGCAAATTTATTAAAAATAAAATCCTGAAAAATGAAATGTACATCAGTATTCACAGCTTTTGCTCAGTACTTTGTTGATGCACCTTTGGCAGCAATTACAGCCTCAAGTCTTTTTGAAAAAGATGCCATAAACATGGCACGCCTGACTTTGGGAATTTATGCCCATTCCTCTTTGCAGTACCTCTCAAGCTCAATCAGGATGGATGGGAAGGGAAGTTGTACGTACGTTTTCAGATCTCTCCAGAGATTTAGGTCTGGGCTCTGGCTGATTTGAAAAGGCATACACTCATTCAGGATTTCTCTGTACACTGCTGCATTCATCTTTCCCTCTATCTTGACTAGTCTTCCAGTTCCTGCTGCTGGAAAACATCCCCACAGCATGATGCTGCCACCACCATGCTTTACTGTTGGGATGGTATTAGCCTGGTGATGGTTTGTGCTTTGCCATGCACTGTCAACCCTGAGACCTTATATACTGTAGACAGGTGTATGCTTTTTCCAATCATGTCCAATCAACTGAATTTACCACAAGAGAACTCCAATTAAGCTAATGAAACATCTCAAGAATGATCAGTGGAAACAGACTGTACCTGAGCTCAATTTAGAGCTTCACACCAAAGGCTGTGAATACTTGTGTAGAGGTTTTTTATTTTTAATAAATTTGCAAAAATTTCAAAAAATCTTTTTTCACATTGTCATTAAAAGGTATTATCAGTAGAATTTTAAGGAAATAAATTAATTTAATCCATTTTGGAATAACGTTGTAACAAAAAAAAGTTGAAAAAAATGATTTTGAATCTGTGACAGCAATTAATCCACATGTAAGAACAGCAGCCATCTAAAAATGCAGGAGTGTGCAATTATTTAGCAAACCCTTTATTTTAACGTGATAAACTACTAGTCTTTTTGACCAGTCTATTGAACAGTTTCAAGCCATTTTATCTTTAAATGGGCTTAAAATAGTTCACATTGCAATGTCAGCCTATACTAGTGTTTCTTAACCATGCTCCTGAAGCTCACCACAAATGCAAGTTTTGGATGTCTCCTTTATCTGTCACACCCACAGGTCACAGGTCTTTCAGTCTCTGCTAATGAGCTGATGATCAAGCGTGTTTGGTTAGGGAGAGATGGAAAATGTGCAGAGCTGGTTGAACGTGGTTGAGAAACACTGATCTGTACCAAGCTGTACTGTTATAGTTGGTGTTATAAGACATGGTGCTCAGCTATAGCACTGATTAAATAAGTAGAGTAATGATTTAGTATCCCGTGTCTACTGTGGATCAGTTGCTTTTCAAATGTGCGTGTGTGTCATGCATCACACACCAAGATTAATCAATCTTCAATGCTTCAATCGCATTCTCGTCTCATTTGCATTAGTCAACGGAAATGTCTGTATATTTATTATAGTTGTAGTCATCACCTCATTTTTATTTCGTTTTCGTCTAGTTTTTGTTGCTAGACACTTCATCCCAAAAATTATGACGAAAATTTTCGTCAACAAAATGAACACTGGTTACAGATTCTAGAAGACACTCATAAATAAAAATATTCTTGCTTTTTACAGATCTGGAAGAGAATAACATGGCTTGTTAGCTGACGGCTCTCCTTTGAGCTCTAAGGAACATCGTCGCTCCTGGCAACAAGCAGAGTGGAGGTGAATGGCCCGCTGTTGCTAAGAGACAGTAACCTGGATGATGGTACAGCTGCATCTTTTGTGGTACATCTGAAACAGTTCTTAAAATACCAGCCACAGGTGTTAGACTGAGCATCGCCTTCTGACGCAAATGTGTGGTGGTGTTGTCCTACAAGCTGAGACTGTGAACACATTTTAAACCAGAGATATTATATGTAGACGGCAAGTCAGACGGCTGTGTGCTCAGAGAGCAAGCCCATGCCTGTTCCACACATAAATCACAAATGAGAAAGCGTGAATGACGCGATGCTATTAAAAGTGGATATTTTTAGTACGTGTGCCCTCTCTTTCTTGCAGAGCATTTTCATTATCTAATTAACCGTTAAACAACATCTTGACAATATCACCATCAGATGTATCTCCTAGACACAGATGTGGGCAGATATTTTAACATATTGGTCAATCAAAGCATGTTTTTAAATTACATCTCATCGATTTCCTGCTCTAGTAACTAGTGTTGCATGGCAACCCAAAAACAAACATTTAAGAGGACGCATTGACACCAGTGTGTTAATAAGAGCATACTACATAACCTGCCACACCAACAAAAATGTGGCTACTGACATTCTGAAACCACCTGCCACTTTTGACGTCTGTCTTTAAGCTATACTAGTTATTAAATATCTGGAAAAACAGCATGACGTTCTGATCGTAAGCATTTGCCGAGTTTTAGCTTTTCCAAAATTATTTGTAAGAATCCATCAGTGAGTAAGAGCAAGAAGATGAGACTTGATCAACACAGTAGAGAGAAACCAACATACATGCTCAGCTGATTATGTGTTTGCCTCACAAAAATGTGAATCAGATGTAAGAAAGAAGTCATGCACTCACCTCTCCGGAGAAGACTGAGGGATCATTCAGCTGCTGATTTTTTGTTAATTCTGAGAAAGATCCTTCCGCTTTCTGTCTTTTCTCTCTCCCCCGCTTACTGATTCTCTCTAGTCTTGTGTATGAGGCTTTCCGTACACCCCCGTCCTTCTTTCTAACACGCACACACAGACAGACGCACCAGAGCACCAGAACAAACAGCAAGTCCAACGTGTTCTGACTGCAATATGCAGACTGGCTGCTGAACCAGATGATCTAATCAAAAGAAAAAAAAAAAACATAGACATGAAAACATTAAAAGAAAAGGGATTTTAAGAACGCAGCCTCTTTTATTAATCTTGGCCATATTGTTGCAAAAAAAAACAACAACAAAAAGACAATCAGTAGATGTACAGTCACTTTCACCTTCAGAGGGAGTCTGACTGCTGAACAAACATGCATTTGACCTCTAATGTCTTTGATAGTATTTAGTCCATGTTTTGAAATGAGTTAACCTTCTCTTTTTTGTATTTGGTTTTTTTTTTTTTCGATGGAAGAAATGATGTATACATTAAAGATTATACATTTACTCCAGGTTCATTTTTATTTTTTTAATTTGAACCTTACTTACTCCTATTTATATCGAAGTTTATATTTAGCCACACCATGTTGGTGTTTCATAATATCTAGTTTTTATGAGGTGGGTCATTAGCCCAACGCTCAACACTCAACCTGGAGGACCAGGACATACACACATACACTACGGATAATTTGGCTTACCTACTTAACCTATAGCGCATGTCTTTGGACTGTGGGTGAAACTGGAGCACCCGGAGGAAACCTAGCAACATGGGGAGAACATGCAAACTTCACACAGAAATGCCAATACCAGTGAACTTCTTGCTGTGAGGCAACGATGCTAACCACTGAGCCACCATGTCGCCCAATACTGAACCTACAGATACTAAATCATTTTTAATATGGTTTATATGGCATTTTTATTAGTCGCAAAGAGCTGTGAAGAAATATGTAAACAAGACAAAACAGCACCAGGAATTTCTCTATTGCTCACAAACAATTATATCCATGTTTATATGTTTTCGGCACCTGTATTAATCTGTTATGCACAACATAGTGCTATGATGAGAACACTACTGTTAATCTGCATAATTCTGATTATTAATAGCAACCTGTAGATATATTCATCTATTGTAAATCTCTGTTCATAGCTAATACAACCTGTATATAATGTTGATAGAACATCCATCTGTAAATATCACTATAGTTTTTCTATAACTGCACTTTATAACTTATACCTGTATCCTGCACTTGCTGCTATTGCACTGCCGGTTAGACCTAAACTGCATTTCGTTGCATTGTACTTGTACATGTGTAATGACGATAAAGTTGAATCAAATCTAATCTACCCGTGACCTTTGACACACACTTAAAATAATAATTTTTCCTGTTTGTTAAAACAGCCTTTTTAAAATGAATTGAACCAACACAACTATTTAGGATTTTTTTGGCACTACTTAATTGTTTTAAATGATTAAGTTAACATAACTGATTTGTGTTGACAACATGAAGGAACTGTGTGTAACCCAGCATACAGAGCACACACTGTAAAAAAAAAACTGTAAAATGCTGCGTTACACTCAGTTCCTTCATGTTGTCAACACAAATCAGTTAAGTTAACTTAATAGTTTTTGCTAATTTAAGTGGACTTAACATAAAAAATTAAGTTGTCCCTCCAAGAAAACTTAAGAATTGTGTTCTTTCAACTCGTTTTAAACAAAGAGTTTGAACTAACAGCAAAAATGTTCAAAAATCCCTCTGTCCAAAGACATGCACGATAGGTGCATTTAGTCAAAAAAATTGGCTGTAGTGTATGAGTGCATGCATGAATGTGTGAGTGAATGGGTGTTTCCCAATACTGGGTTGCAGCCGGAAGGGCATCTGCTGCGTAAAAAATATGCCGGAAAGGTTGTTGGTTCATTCTGCTGTGGCGACCCCTGATAAATAAGGGACTAAGCAGAAGGAAAATTAATGAATTAATCAATAAACTTATGCCCACCAGTTACATTAAATTCAGTAGCCTGTATTTATCATATTTCTGACTTCACTATTAATAATTTGGCAGTTACTAAATGCAGGACTATGACCTAATGTGACCCACACAGCTTAAAAGAATAGTTCACCCAAAATAAAAATTCTGTCATTATTTATTTACCCTTCACTTGTTCAAGTCATATTTGTGTTTCTTTCTTATGTTGAACTCAAAAGAAGTATATATATTTTTGGTTTTGGTTTATTTTTTCCTACTATGGAAGTTGATCCAGCAACCAGCATTTTTCAAAATGTCTTCTTGAACGACAAAAAGAAACTGATTTTCAGAAGAAAGAAACTGGTTTTAAAACCACATAAGAGAGAGAAAGAGAGAGTAAATGATGAGGTAATTTTCATTTTTGGGTAAACCACTAAAAGGAGAGTCAAAAACAAACAGGCAAAACAAAACGAATATCTTTTGCTCCTATTGATCCATTGAGATCTTGTGAAGTGATGTCTGTGACTGAACAAGAAACTGAACATTATTTACAACATTATAATCTTTACAAGCATTCAGTCACAAATGCAAAAGCAAACTTGTGGGATGTTCAGGATAGTTAAAGAAACATCAGGTCACACCGGGATTAATTTAGTTTTTTATTTATTCATTCATTTACCTTTGGCTTAGTTGCTTTATTGATCAGGGATCGCCAAAGTGGAATGAACCGCCAATTTATCCAACATATCTTTTACACAGTGAATGCCCTCCCAATCCAGTATTGGGAAACACCCATACACTCTCACACACACACATACACTACAGCCAATTTGGTCTATTCAATTCACACATACCGCAGGTCTTTGGACTGTGAGGGAAACCGGAGCATCCGGAGGAAACTCATACCAACACAGGGAGAACATGCAAACTCCACACAGAAATGCCACCTGACCCAGCTTGGACTTATGTATTGGACTTGGATATATATATATATATATATATATATATATATATATATATATATATATATATATATATATATATATATATATATATATATATATATATATTAACCTTCACCTTACAGGAAGAATGTGTGTGTGTGTGTGTGTGTGTGTGTGTGTGTGTGTGTGTGTGTGTGTGTGTGTGTGTGTGTGTGTGTGTGTGTGTGTGTGTGTGTGTGTGTGTGTGTGTGTGTGTGTGTGTGTGTGTGTGTGTGTGTTTGCGTGTGTGTGTGCGTGTGCGTGTGCGTGTGCGTGTACATATTTTTGTGACATCAGGACACAAATCTGTATAATGACAGGTATGGCACAGGTGTTACAAAAAGGAGGTGAAATATGAGGACATTGGTGACGTCCTCATTTCTCAAATAGCTTATAAATCCCACAGAATGAGTTTAATCAGAGAGTAAAGCTGCACACAGTCTCCTGTGATGATTGGGTTCAGGGGTAGGGAGGGTCAGGGCAATACAATATACGGTTTGAACAGTATGAAATGAATGGAAACCTATGTAATGTACTCACTTTTCATAAAGACAAATGTGTGTGTGTATATACACATTATACATAACTATATACGCATATTACTGCAAGGTAAGCAGTAATATGCGTATATAGTTAAAGGTCTAACAAATACAAGTTTTCCTTAATTAGTACATCTGTGCAATTGTTGCCCCCCACCCCCAGTCATGGATCTGTCCAGCTGTCAAATCAGATGAATTTTTTGTTTTAAAAAACAAAAGTAGTTTTTTTTTATTATGTTTAGTTGCAAACTCATTTTAAACAAACAAATAGAAAGCAAGACTGAGATATATATAAAGAAGACGGCTAAATAAATAAATAAATACAAATACGAAGTGTGCATATTACTGTAGCACTTCTGGGTCCCATGACTCAAATTGCTTAGGGCCCTCACATTACTAAATCTGCCCCTATTGACATTATTCTCCGCAGACGAGCGGGCGCTGCCATTTGAATCTTTTTGGCACGAGACTTCCGGTTTCATTCCCTTCCATTCATTTTTAGACATTAAAAACTGCTCGTTTCGCTGTTTGATGTTGCAAACTGATATTTCCTTGTTATATTATTATACTTGGTCTGTGTAGTCATGCAAACATTTGTTTGTAGAGCAAGTAGTTTGACCGTTTTATGGCGTTTATTATTCCTTGTCATTTCTCCCATAGGCGACTGAAACGGAAGTTCTAAGACAATCGCGAAAACAGGCACACTTCCGCCTTTTAGAATAAGGTCAATATATATAGTGCCAGTAGCTGTCAACTTGCATTTCATTATTCAACAAAGACCATCCTTTCAGCTGAAGATCTTCTTTAAAGTTCTACTACAGCAATTTCCCAGCAAGAAATATTCTTTAAAACAAATGACTAAAACACCCGAATATGTAAAGTAATTTTGTTTTTATTTTCCTTACAAAAGCAGAGGCAGTAAAAAAGGGAAAACACAGCTTTAGTATATCAATATTGTTTGACAGCAATACAAAGCATTTGAAATGTACAAGTTTTGTGAAGCAAAACACACACAATGAAAAGTCACCATTATTTCAGCTGATATTGGGGCAAGTTCGATGTTGCAGTGGTTCATCCGAACTTTTTTCGTCTAAATGTTGGAGGACAAAGGGACTGGTTGTCCTGACAACCGTTACAGCCACACAGATTCGAAATGCGTGGAGCCAGTTTTTAAAATGTGATGATCGAAACACTGACAGACATGCGGCTCTTTGAGGGTGGAAATGTGCGACTAAAGTCTAAAATACTCTTGTGTCTGTGGAGTGTTTTAGATGTGAAACTAAAAGGCTGATAGTTACAGCACCCTGACTGGAAGTATGCTGAAGTAACACATGGCAAGACTGATAAACATGCAAACCACCATCAGAGCAAAAAGCGATACGAACGCGTCACATCCTGTCCTGGAAATGATGGGCCTATTATAAGCAGCAAAGAGTCAGCTCCAAAAAAAAAGGCAAGTTCATCATTGAAATAATAACATATTACTCTTTTAAAACCATATCATCACGCGACATTATCATAATTACGTCTATTTACAATATTTACAGAGATCATGTACCTTATTGATCGTAATTGCTCACGTTATAAAATAATTGTTGATAAAATAATAAAAAGGTACAAACGAGGTAAATGATATTTACACAGGTCAGCAGTGATATCAGTGAAAATGTTATAGCTGGCAGGCTGTAGCAAAGTGGCTCGCTGTCCTGCTTTTTTGATGGAGAGGCTGCCAGCAGCACCAGGTGTCGTTAGTAGATGATGTCATCTATAACTCCATAAGTGTGACCTGGTAGTGGTTAACGATGACTTCACTGATCTCTATGAGGAAGGCAGAGTGGTTGCTGTAATGCTCGATGATGTTGTCGTCCATGTTTACAAAGATCCTGTGGATGGTAAGAGAAAAGGAATGAGTCATTAAAATTCTCATCCTTATTTTAAACAATTTGAATCAGTGAAAAATAAATAAAACACTTTGATTTTAACTAAATGAAATTCATTTTAAATGGTTTAAATAAAATTAGACAACCTGTGGCGAAGAATAAAATTGTATATGTACCCAGCAGGCACACAACGTCATGACATTTTTTATTAGTTTAAATTTAGGTTGTGATGTCAGGTGACCAAAATTCAATGTCTAGCTAGTGTCAACGTTATTTTGACGTCCAATAACAGCATCAAATGTTGTTGATATTTGGTTGATTTAAGGTTTTATTGGAAAGTGACCAAAATCTACATCCAGCCAACATGTTAAACCAACGTCAATCTTGATGTCAAATACTGATATTTATTCGTCAGGTATGGCAACCAAAATCCAACGTCTAATAGACGTCATATTGGTAACGTCAAGCTGTAACATCATTAGACATTTGATATTTGGTTGATTTTAGGTTGGTCTTTGGACAATGACGTCAGCCTGACATTGGGTTCTAACATCAACCTAATTTTTTAGTTCCGAACAAAATGCAACATGGGTTACAACGTCAATCTCATGCCATCTTGACGTCCTGTGCCTGCTGGGTATTTTGAGATTTGCTTATTTAATATCTTTAATATCCATTTCAAAATATAATTGATATAATGATGCTTTATATATTTATTCTTTTTGCATATAAAAACATAAACATACAGAAACTATATATTGATTTTCATGTGCCATTAAATTTAATTATTTTTTGAATGATCTGATACGATAACGAAAACCAAACTGCAAATTGCTTTTCAGCAGCACAAAAGCCTTCGCGCTTTCATTCTGACACTTGTTCGCTGACATTTGCACATCACTCCACAATATTTATTTTAGTCATTGTGACTGTGTTTAGCTGTTGACTGACGTGTGGATGAACTGTGGCCTACCAACTGCTGAAAGAAACCTTAATGCATTCCTGTACAATCTTCTAATACATTCATCATTCCTTCCCTGGGGCTAGACCCTGATTTAGTTCCTTAAAAACACAAATCTTTATCTCATGACTTGCGCAAACAATTATTTGGCACAACAGTCGTCTTTACTGGCCAATGTGTGCACAGTGTGCGGGTGTATGACAGACTAAAAGCGAGGTTGTGTGCTAGCTCTCCCTGCCCTCAGGGTGGAGGGAGTCTGATTGAAGATTGGGGCGAGAATGTGGCCCGACCTGTCGCTTTCTCTCAGCCATATCATCAACTAACGGCCTGAGGAAAGCTGAGCTCCAAGTTACACAGCTCTAGGCTAGGATGATTAAGATAAAATGCCTTTAATAGAGTCCTGGACATAACTCTTTGACCAATCTAGGTCAAGCGCTCCTTAAATGCTCTAGCAGGCGTGTGAAATACGCTCATCAAATTAAACGCTTTATTTTAATGCCTGTACTTTATGATGCACCGAGGTGAGTTATTTCCCACACATGCTCTGAAATGGATGAGTGAACAGGTAAGCGTAAATGGTGTCATGCGTGATCAACAAGCAAAGAGATAAATGCTGTTCTTATTAGTTTGCACGTAGTGTCTCTTACACAACCAGACGCCAGCCTATCAGAGTCTTGATCTGTACTGTTTCTCTCCAAGCTTCATAGACCACACATAAAAAAAAAGATACTACCTCAGTCAGTCAGATGACTCTACCTGTTGAAATTGTCCTGTCTTACTTCTTTTGTTTTGTTTTTAATTCACCCTCTCTCTCTCTCTCTCTCTCTCTCTCTCTCTCTCTCTCTCTCTCTCTCTCTCTCTCTCTCTCTCTCTCTCTCGTCTTTTTTTTTTTTTTTTTTTTTTTGAAGGGGAGCAGCAATCATCACATTCCAAACTCTATAGATCTCCTGTCAACCCGGTCTGTCGACTTTGCTTCCTGGCAGCTTGTCGAGATGGAGCTCAGATTGTAAGAAAAAGGTTTAACGTCTCAGCGTTTCGACATCCCTCTATCTGCTGTTCGTGACTTCATCACATCGTCTAACTGTCCCCAAATGTTTCCGCCCAACGGAGTTCGGCTTAAAAATAACACACTCACCCTCTTTTGCACTTCTTGAAAATTTTCCCAATGGTGTCTTCTTGCATGCCATACTTTTCTGAAATCTGAGAAGGCAGAAAGGGGACATGAGTCACGTCTTAGGTACAGTTCGTCTCCAGGGCTGAGGTGAGAATATGTCTAACGGAAAGAGAGGTTAGAAAACTCACCGCTTCTTTAAGGCCCTTGAGGTTTGGCGTGTTCAGCATGAGGGCATCAAATACTTCCTCAGATTCTCGTCTGACGTACAGGAGGACTGCGGGGAAAAAAGAGTTTACTATCAAAACACTGTGGGGTTGAAAGATTCCTGCATCCCTAATTTGATTAGATACTTCTCCCCTACCTCTCTGCTCGTCTCTGCGGGGTTGTTTGCATGGCGGGGAGCTGCTCTGCTCATTGGCGTCTGCGTAACGTTTCAGCGATGACCTGTCACTTTCCTCCAGGCTAACAGGGGGTACCTGGACAATAACAAACAGATAAAATCAAAGTTTGTCACTTCATTTCCTGCCTATTGCGTGTTGTCATGCTGATGATTACAATGATAGCGACACTATCGCAGTGACATCTTGAATGTGAAAAGGTGTGACATCAAAAAACAAAACGTAGCATTATCTCATGACTTCCTAATCCTTCCCTAAAAGGCAAAAGTCACTACTACTGGCTCTGGCTAAATGTTAAAAGTTCAAACGATTGTGATGTTATGAAACGATGTCGAAATTTCAACACGCTAGTCTGATCTGTGGGAATAAGGCCTGTTGGAACAGCCTCCATCCCTCGTCTCTTAGCCTGTGTAAACACAGCTGAAAAGCATCTCTCGAAGAAGAGTGTGTGCACACGTGTGTGTGTGTTTGAGCTCCCACGGGTTAATCCCAGTGTCAGTCAGTGCGGCAGTCGCCTCCTCAGGTGAGTTTCACTCGCTGTCGTGTAAACTCAATGCACCAGTTAGCATGTCTGATCTCGAGATCGGCCTATTCCAAGCCCACTTCTTTCCCACCACATTTTTTCCCACACTTTTCCTTTCTCGCTCCCATAGTCTCGGCCCTCAGGGTGTTGGTGAACATGACTCAACAATGCTGCGGTAAGCCACATATCCTAGGATATAGGGAAAAGTGTGTGTGTGTTTGTATGTGTGTGTGAATACGTACCAGGCCACAGCGCTGCATTGTGCTGAAGTGCATCTCTGGAATAAATAAAACCGGCTGAGTGACGTGATCGTCTAGAGTTTTAAAGTAAGTCGAGTCCTTTCCGACAGAGCTGGAGACTAGGGCCTGTTTACAATCTGAAATGAAAAAAAAAAGTTTAATGCCCAAAGTGATGAAAGAATATGTTTCTCTACATTGTAAAACCCAATAAGTTAGGGTAACTCAAACCGTTTAAGGAAACTGAGAGCAACAAACCAATTAAGTTCAGAAACTAATCCTAATGAGTATTGTGAACTTAATCTATTTGAGTAAATGAAGCAATTTGATCACAGTAAAACCCAATAAATCAAGAGAACTCAAACCAACTGAGTACTGGAAAACTCAATAAGTTAAGGCAACTCGAACCGTTTGAGGAAACCGATTGCTACAAACCATTTGAGTTAAACTAATCTTAATGAGTACTGTGATCTTGCTCCATTTAAGTTGAAGTAATGAGTTATTTTATTAACTCATTACCTTCAACACTGAGTTCAAAACTCTTTCCAAATGAGTAGAATTAACTTTCAGTACATTTTGAGTTGACTACATTCATTTCATTTTATAAAGTTGACTGGTTTTGCAGTGTAATATCTAGATGAAAACAGGTGATTTGAGATTAGGAGCCCTTATCGTTGAAAATATGTGTGTAAAAACATTCAGACTTGTAGCCCAGGAAGCGGGTCAAAATGCTGAAATGGATAGAATGTAGGTATAGGGTCAGTTCCTGAGCGTCTCATGTTGTATTTATGTGACTGATTGTACTCACTGTTATTGCTGGAGTCTGCAGTGTTCTTGGTTCTCCTCTTGCTTCTCTTCCTCTCCTCATCTCTCATCTTCCTCTCTGCCCCCTGCAAACATTCAAAGTTGATAAAACATTAATAATCTGATTCTGTTTTAAAAAGAAATCGCCAGAAATAATATGTAAGAACATTTTAAGAGTTAATTTAAAGGATAAACAGTGTTTTTATGACCATTTGTAATTTTTTTGGAGGAAAAAAAAATGACAAGCCTTCTTGTCAACAACTCTGAGTTGGTATCTAGTTTTGGTGCCAGCTGACTGTAGTAGATATGCATCTGATCCAGCTAGAGAAACCACAGCATTGCAGTAATGCACTTCGTTCACCTACTGCTGCTAAACCAGTTAGACGTGTGTTAAATCTAACCTTCCCATCATGCATTTCCACACACAGACTAATAACTATGTCCGCTGCGGAACGTACAAGCGGGCTTTAAAGTGTTAAGGCCTGATATGGCGGTCTGGTTACATTATCTGATCAGCTCAACAAAAGGATCAATCAATAGGAATCAGAAGATAGAGGTTCTAGAAACAGTAACAGCGAGATAGACAAACTGAAAGAAAAAACACACGGCTCTGTTTTTTTTTCTGCTTCCTTGAAAACATATACCACTTATCTGAAAATCCACCATTAATTGGTCTGAGGTCAGAGATTTTTTTGACTAAATAAATTAGTAGGACACGATGACTGTGAGTCAGCAATGTGTTTATGACACACAATCCAAAATGAGCTAATGCACACCCTGATAATGAATATAATTAATGTCCTGATGCGAATTTTAGGTTAAGATACACTTATTTTATATCATGATTGGTACAGTTATACAAACATTACTTGTATATTTGATTATTTTTTTTTTTAAATACACATTTAACACATTATTGGGCACCTCACCTTATCGCAGAAGATCTTGACTTGACAAACAGCTCGGTGAATGAGACGGTTGTTCCCGGAACTGAAATCATACGTATCTATCTGAAGATTCAGAGGAAGACCCTTAACTCCCTTCTGCGAGGAGAAGTCAGTGCTCAGTGAATTGATGCCAATGTGCACCTGAAAAACACATCAGAAGCATTAATTCTCAAGAAATTGCTACATTTTAGAAAGAGAAATGCAGTAAAAAGTTACACATGGTGCCGTGTGGTTCATTCTCAGGCCCGTCAAAAAATAAGTTTATGCTAAGTCTCTAAACAAAAGGAAGGGTCAGGGATGAGACACATTAGATGTGTCATATGCAAATGAGTTCAGTAATTCCAATTCATTTCAAAAGAAAAGGAGTGTCCATATGGAGAACAGCATGGCGAAATCCAACAAGTTGCAACTGGCAGCCAAACAACAATAAAATTTAATCACCTAAATAATATGGATAAAGTTAATTAATGATGTTAAATCCCCCCAAAAATGTTCCTAGTTACTTATAGTTGGTGATTCTGCTGTCACACACTGGAATACATAACGAAGTTGGAATATGTCAATTCAAATTCAGATTTTTTTTAAATGAATTGTTGCTAGCTAAGCATTGTTAAGTTCTTATAAACTTTAATTATAAGCTACATTTGTACTACAACAGCCCGAGTTTAGCCTTGTTTGTGTTTAGGCTTCATAATGTCTATTCGATGTTAATTAAACACAAAATTATTTGAGGGGTCCTAATATTAATGACTTTTAACATGTTGCTCAATTTTATTTAATCAATAAAAATGTGTTAGACTGACAATATTCTTTCATTTCATCTCTGCTCCACCTGCTGTGAGTTTCGTTGTCCCACCCATCACTACCTTGGGGGCATGCTGAAATGAGTCCTATTTCTCTTTCTTTTCTTCCCTGCTTCCTTCCCTCCCTCTTTCTTTTTTTCTTCTCTTTTTTGATTCCCTATGATGACAGGTGCCTGAGGAGGCCGCATACCGTAGATACCACTGCTCTCTGACACTCCTCTAAATGATCCTCCTTTCAAGCCATCACTTAACAAAAACAAGTGACAGGTGGATCTGTGTGTTGCTTTTTGATTTTGTACCTTCGCTTCTTCATTGGTGTTCCAGATGAAGGACAGCGCATTGAAAGCAACTTCTTCCACGTTACTCACTCCACTGAAAACTTCCTTGTAGTCAGCTGAAAGTCAGTACAGAAGAATTTATTATTGCAGATCTCTATGAAATTAAGTACACATCAATCAAAGCATTTAACATTATATGACATCTGACTTTAAGAGCTAATCATGGGTGCGGCGGTAACCGGTGTATAATAAAAACATCTGATATTGTTCTTGTCATGTCAGATACAAAGAAAGCGTCTGTTTTTATGTTTAAAAAAAAAACGGTTGTGAAAGTAAATGTCAAAAAATGAGTCTATAAAGTTTGAGCATTATAGATGTATTAACTTAGAAATAAAGCAATGTATGTTTATTCTGATCTTTACTCAGTTAAATATTAAAGTCAGTACGTTTTACAAGATTATTGCTGACAAATGGGTATAACTTAACTCTTAAAACAGTATTTTAATGTCATCAATGTAAATACAATGTAAAAATGTATTTTTTCTCAACATATGTTCTCTAACGATGCATCTTAAAATCAAATTTTAAATCTTGTAAAAATATCTTTCAGGATATTTAGATGTATCAACTGTTAAAATGTGTTATCATCCATGTTATTTCAGTGTAGTAATGCTGAGATACTCACCGATATCAATGACTCTTTGTTTAACGGTAGGCTGTCGAGCGTGCCAGTGGTTCCAGTACTTCAACTGCATCTCAGGACTCTTGTCATTCTCAAACACTGCCATGATCACCGTCTGAGAGAGAGAAAAAAGAAGGATGATTAGTGTTTTTTAGACATTGTGCGACTCTCTGTTGAACAAATGATTGTCTCTTTGTAAGTCACCATGCTAATACTCCTTTCTTTCTGCTTTGTCAATGACCATAGCAATGCTTGCTTTAAAAACAGAACAATCCGTCTTCTCCGTCTCCTGGGTTAACAAAATTGTCGGTATTTAAGTTTACTCTAAAGAGTTTAGAAATCTTTTTTGCTGTTACAAAATGTCAAACTACTATACTTCAATAGAGGCTAGACTTTAATAGAGGTGTTGGAGCTAAAACAAAATAACCTGTTATATCGCAAGTATGAATTCTTCTTCACATAGGCTTTTTGGGAAGTTTCCAATAAGTGCGTTCATAGAAATATAACTTACTTTTACTTTGCTGCATGGCACACCAGCAGTGCTGTCGACCCCCTGCAGTGTAATTGGGTAAAACTGGCCCTTGTTGAGGTAAACCATGGGGATTTCTGTCGTCTTGTGCTGGGAAGCTTGTGGGGCACCGAGAAGGAATTGGAAATCATTCCTGCGAAAACATTCAAATGCAAATATATTAATGCAACAGCATTACTCAGTGTTGATTTTTTTTTATGGCTTGCATAGGATCACCAAGTGACATAGTTATTTTTATAGAGGCAAAATGCATGAGAATTGACCGATTTGTAAAATCTTACCTGTATCTTCCTGGAGAAGAGTAGGAATCTGAGTAAACAGGGCTTGTCTGTCCCCCAAATCCATTGTGGCCAATATGCTGTTTTTTGTGAAGTAAACAAACAGATGTGTCACAAATTGATCATAATTATTAAGTAAGTACAATAATTAAGAATACATTAGTTTCTATGACTAAAAAGACATAAAATAATATTTAATATAAAGATAACCTAAACTTGAATGTTGTTATATTAATGTATATTGTAAATGTGTCTTGGGAAAATGTATTACATAAATGCGGACCTCAGGTGTGGCCTCCAGAAAGGTTTGATCCGATTGCCATGATTTCTGCGACGGTTGAGGCAGGAGAGAGTCGAAGATGTTGTTCAGGTTGACTTGCTTATCATAGTTGTCTGTTGTGTAGCTGTCAGTGCTAGGCTTTGAGGGGTTGAAGGACATGTTTTCTGAAAGGAACTTCATGATGTGAGCGTTCTCCAGCGGGGCAAGTTCAGGGGAAGAGCTGTTTGCCGTCCTACAACATAAATCACATGACGTATCGTAAGTCTCCTTGTTTCGAATTAGGATTGTGTTTTTATCCTACTCGATCACTAATGCTATTCACACAAGAGCAGCTGTTAGCTACCTATACAACGATCACAAAAAATGTGTCAAAGTCAATAAAAAGCTTTACTCAATCTCCGCATTGTTTATGGAGCTTTCAGTGCGTGAAAAGCCAAGCCAAACACATTGGGCGGGAGCTGTTTGCCACCTAACGCTGACTTTTTTTTACTGTTTGAGTTTCTCGGCAGGGTTTGACATCGGGGAGACCAACAAGCTCTGTAGGCTGCTATTTTTCACTAGCACAAAAGGGTTGCTGAGTAGTGACTCAGTCTTTTTGGGATGGGTTGAAGCAGAGGATTAACAGCTGAACAAGCTCTGACCTCAGATAATCTTGGCTAAATTACTCAACCTACCAATGTGTTGTGGCATTATACATCTGGATGACCTACTGTTGCGACATATATTTCTTTCTGATACTACTGTATAGTATGAAATCCATAGTAAATGATAAAGCTCACCTCTCCATTGATTTGTAAATGCTGCTCTCACGGGCACATGATGTCATCTTCTGCTCTTTTGAAGGCTTAAAGAAAACACATTAATAATGTTATATGTGTATCTAAAATCAATCATATTTAATCTTTAAAAATGCTGTAATCTTGTGCTACCTTGCAGGCATCATAGAGAAGGTTTAGAGTAGCCAGATCTTCATCTGAAGCCAGTCTGGGTTTAGTTTTACTGAGGTTACCGCTGTCCATGTTGGTCCAGTAGTCCATAACGTAACTTTCGTATGTGCGTATGTGGCTGAAACTCTCGTTCTGTTGTACCATGAGAGCCCTTGGGGAAAGACAAAGGCGATTTAGCACAGATAAAACATCAAGATTTGCCTAGCAAAATAATTCAACAACAGTTCAAAGGCCACAGAAATGTGCCTCTGGTGCACAGAAGACACTCAAAACCACAAAACCGCCAGGTCTTCTCAACAAAAAAAAAAGTTAATTAACAGTTTCATGTCCATAGCTTGTTATTCATGAGTGTTTTCGGCATATTTATGGTTTCGAAAATGCATTATAGACACTTGAGCTCTTTGTTGACTGCTTTTGGTGTTGACGCCTCAGATTTTACGCATTTTTCTGTCGTTTGAAATGATTTATTGTTTGGGTAAATTACAGTACACAACCTGAACTTGCAGTAAAACTTTATTTTGATGGTGCTTTTGAATATTAGAAGACTGTCTGCTTAATATATGTGGATACTGATCCTTCAACAGACATTTAACTGACTTTAAGAAACTTTACAAGTACTTGTCAACTTGCCCTAACCCCAACCCCAAACAGTCATGTAGATGTAGACCCATGTAGATGCAATGTAACTTTAATTCAACAAACGGACCATCAAAATAAAGTGTGACCGATCTAATATTTGTGTCATTTTACAGATTTATATCCTTCAGACCTATTTAATGCTCAATAACGCCTTAATAACCATAAAATCTAACAAAACACCAATAAACAGCAGCCCACTTTCTCCTCTCATCTACACTCAGATGCAGAACCTAAGTGAAGGGACTTAATGTTAACTTAACACAAGCACCACAAACAAAAGACAAGGATTTGAAGGGGATCGCTAACTCCTCAAACAGCTGGATTTGGTTTGGGATTTTCCCTAACTAAAAGGATTAGCAACAAGGTGGTCCGCTATGTTGAGCTCAAACGCAAACAGAGCCGTTTAGGCACCTGTGCTCACACTTAAATTAACGAAAAATTACAAAGACTCTGATATTTACTACTTCTAGACACCTGCATGTTGACACAAACCTGCCCTCTGACACTTTAGCACTAGAGTAATGTTTCTTCAGTTTGTGCACACACACACACGCACATTCGAGCCCCTAGGACAGTTACAGCAGGCTGTCAGAGAGAGTGTGTGTTTCTGTGTCAATTTTCAGCAGAAAGGATCTCGACAAAGCCATTCATGTGGGGGCCGGTTTACACATGAGCAGAGGGAGAGTGGGAGAAGAGGAGAAAGACATTACTCAAGAGGAATAAACAGCTCAGAAGTACAAACTATAGCACATCCCACCAAAGAAACATCATCAGATGAGTCATAAGAATCGGCTCATGTTGAAAACAGTAGCTGATAAAATATATACCTGTTAAAAAATAGTAAAATCTGTAATCTAATAAAACATTTGGGGGATTTTTGACAAGTTAAAAATCTGCGCATCCTACAAAAAAATGTACAAATGAAGAGTTTAGATGTGAAAACATCTAAATGCCATCTGAAATGTTCCTCTAAAATGATTGTTTTTTACCAAGCTCCACTGTGTTTGTTCAGTAATAACCCTTTTATGTCAAATGACATTTTCCTTGTCTTTAAAGTGAAATATCTCAACATAAACAATGGAGGCTGAGAAAAATGTTCATCTTCGATTGAAATTTCATACAGCACTTACAGGTTTTTGCATCTGAACTCTTCAAATCTGATCTGATTAGTCCTAGCTCATGTGAGAATATCTAGACAGTGGATGATTTGTTGTAATAAAGTTCTATCTTGGATTTTTGTAAAGCAAAAATAGCAACAAATGCGTGTTGTTTGTGTAAATATAATCATAACACTTACTCAATCTCCTTGGTCATGACTCCTTGTACAGGCAGTGCTGATAAAATCCTTAGTTTGGTATCCGGTCTCCTCTCTGAGGTGTGCTTGTGGTTAAATATGTGTGTTTATGTGCTGAAAAATGAAGTGGCACTTTTTAATCCATCTGGCAGGTTGGCTGCTGTGCTCTGATTGGCTGGAAGCCTGAGACAGGTGTGGGATAGGACAGGTGTATCCTCCCTTAACTGTCTCAGTGCTGGAGAGAAACTAGTGTGTGGGGAGGAGGAGGAGGGGGGTTAACTCATTAACACCTCGTATAAAAGACTGAGAGTCTCAAACTAGAGGTGTGAAATGCATCTTATTTGGGATCAGAAACCAAAGGTGCAGGTGAAAGAACAAGGTTTTAACATGCAAATGAAAGGTTGTGTAATTTTGTCAGTCTCTAATTCAAAGAAAAGTTTTGGCTGCAAGATTTTATGGTTTCTTCCATTTAAATTAGCATGTCTGAATTTATATATGCAAGTTGCAAATGAAAATCATTTTTTAAAAGAAGAAATTATAAATTATTACAACTTATCATTTTAATGCATTTAGATTTTACCTGCAGTAAAGTGCAGTTTTTTAATTTTACATAGAAAACATATTTTTTCAAAAGATTTATTTTATTGGTTTGTGCATCATGCTTAATTCTCTATGTGCATTATGCTTAATTCTCTTAATTCTCTATTATTTCTAATGCAAGTTGCAAATGAACTTAGTATTAAAATAAGAAATGACAAATGTTTAAGCCCTCTGTTCTAACATTTCCATTTTTATTCTCATTCATTAAATTTGACTTTATTTCATTTTTAAAGGAAGTTGTAAACAGTTTATATGCATTCAATTATTTTCCACATTATTCTGCCAACATGTATGTTTGTAGGTACAGTGCTTATATTGCATAGTGCATATATTAGTAAAACCCTCACAAATCTACCGTTTAAATTTATATGTTTAATAGGAAGCTATACAATACTATATTTGTGCATAATAGATTAGTCAGTACTGAAGCCAAAACTGGAACTTATCTAACAAAATAACTTACAATAACGGTCCAAAAACTAGTACACTTAAATTTATGTTGTAGAAAAATATTAAATACATATTTTTAAAAAAGAGGACAAATCAAGAGAAACAAAAAAAAAAATGAAAACTTTAGTTAAAATGTTCTTGGTTGTTTTTCCCAATATTTTGCTTGAATGTAATTGTGGTATCTTTCCATTTCTGAATATGTTTGGTGACTAAAATATTATTTGAATTAATATATATGTTTAATAAATCTGTTTTGTTTAAATGCACCAAAATACATTGCCTATATTCACTGAAAAATGGAACAAAACATTAATTTTCAAAATGGGGTGTACTCAATTATGCTGAGCACTGTATGTGCCCCGTAATTAATTATTGATCATTTATTTTTAATTTGTAAAATAAAGTATTAATGGATTTCTTTTCCATTTTTTACGTGATTAAAAAACTCAAAGAATACATTTAAATTTGTTTTTTAATTATTTACTATGGGTTGTTCATGCATGATTTGTAAAAAAAAAATTCTGCTGCATCAGAATGATTTTAGATATGGATCTCAGATGGGAACTGATGCAATCAGACAAAAGCTTACATTTGCTCCATTAATATATTTAAAATCTTACTTTTTGAGCTGCACTTTTAATAATATGAATGCATTTAGATTTTGTTTCTTGTAAATACCGTGCTCAGCATAAATTCAAGCAAAATATTCCAAAAAACATTACAACCTACAAAATTTAATCTAATTTTTTCAATTTCTTTGCTTATCTTGATTTTTCCTCTTTTTTAAATATGTATTTAATATTTTTCTATAACATATAAATTTGGGTTTGCTAGTTTTTGGACTGTTATTGTAAGTTATTTTGTTAGATAGGCTCCAGATTTGGCTTCAGTACTGACTAATCTAGTGTATATGCACAAATATAATATTGTATAGCTTCCCATTAAACATATAAATTTAAAAGATAAATTTGTCAGGGGTGTATTAATATATGCTGAATACTATAGTAAGATTAATTTTGATTTAATTTTACATATAATCATTTAGACCCACTTGAGTGTTTTTAATTACTGTGTACATGCATACATTTACACTGATGCTTATTACAAAAACCTGCATTTAAGAATTTAACCAAAAAATAGTAACTAGTTACTGTTACTAGAAACTAAATTCAAAAATAACTCAATTACTTTATCGATGCTTACACTAAAAGTATTGCATTACCGTTATAAGTCATTTATGAGTTACTTTTCCAGAGAGCATTTTTAATGCTTCCATTTAAGCCCTTATAACGTCACTTAAGTGCTGCATGGAGAATACACGGTTAATCAGCTTCTCAATATTAAAATTCATTTACATTCACACAAACTAAAACACAAAACTTAAATAAAAATTAATTTTCACACACTATTTTTTTAATTCAGACCAGCAGAATTAAAATAAAATTATTACAAAGGTAATAAACCAGCTAAATAATATATTCAGAAACAAAAAAGCACTAAAGTTGCTTCAGCGTCATAAAAGTTTGTACTTAACCCATAAACATTCACAGCTTGAGTATGAAAGTAGCAACAATATACAAAAAACAAAAAAACCTTTATGAAATGAAAACATCACCCAGAATCTATTTGGTAAAACTCAGCACCAAAAGAAAACTGCTATTATATAACTATAAATTATATGCATTTTAACAAAACAAAAACATAGCTGTATGTATTTTTAACATTATCTATGTCAATAATTTTCTTTGCCAGTACAGTAAAAGACCCTTAACAACTATGATTTTTATTAAATAATTGCTCTTTATTCATGGTAACATGCAACATCAGATGCGCACAGTATTTCTGCCTTTTACTTTTATGCATTAATATACCCCAGACCTGCTTGCGTTTATGTGCATCTATTAATTCAAGATTTGTTAAGACCTCAGGGTATCTGGTATAGTGTCACAAAGAGTGCGTGCTCTGTGGCCTGCCCTCACGCACACACCCACGCGTGTTTCACAAACACACAGGCACACACCGAACCTTCGGGCACTTTGGAGTTCAACTAAAAAAATGTGCAGAAGAAATAGATTATCAGAAGTAAAGAAGGAAGTCAGGAATGCTGCTACCACTTACGGGAAATGAGCATTGCTCTACACAAGTGTCATTTCTTATGCGTTAACATGATGTGGTTATATGTTGAAATGACTTTCCATTTGCAGTTTAAAACCCCATGTTGCACTTTAACAATTATTTTGTTTTTCATAAAGCCATAAAGTTATCAGATTGAGTGTTTTACAAGAAGTCTATCTCTAGACTTTGATATGCAGTTACATACAGCAAAACTTTTACAAAATGTAATATTAAAATATAGAGCATTCTTATATCAGTGTTTCTCATAAGTTTATGTTTATGTTGTCAGTGGGTTTATCATCTCACTTCTGTTATTGTCCTTTTCAGCATGAGTTTCCTGATATATTGATTTTAATGATATACGTACTAAAATGCATCTCTGAGTTGCAATGACTCTCCATTTGTCTTTCGTTGTCATTATCATATGACTGAGAAGAATTGGACTGATCTTATGGTATAACGTGGGCTGATTTAAGACTGAGATCCGCAGGTGTGAACGGTGTGGTTGAGAGTTTGCTGTTTGTGAATGTAAAGGGAAAGAGCCATTAGAGCGAGAGGCTTTTTCTAAAGGGATCATTTCACACCTAGAAACCGCGCAGAAAACTCAGAAACCAGCACCATCATTGTGGTTGGTATGTGTTAAAGAAGAAATAAGCAAGTTGAATATGATAATCCATGACAAAGGGGTTGTTTCTGTTGTGCTGTCCTCAAAAACAGCAGGGACTATGTTTCTCCTTAATCTAAAAGGCTTAATATGGTTTTAAGTCCATTTTAAAATGAATGTCTGAGTGAATAAGAACTAAATATATACCAAAATGTAAAATTTAAAACAGTAAAAAAGGTTAAAACAGTAAGAATTATAATGTGTAATATGATATAAAGAGTTAAAGCATATAAAGTGTAATATGATACTCATTTCACCGTGGATCTAAAATGATGCAGACATTTTAATTACAACTTTGAAGTCAATAAAAGAAAATATAACAGTAAAGAGAGTTTTTATTTTTAAACCACCATAAAAATGCACTTATTAAAAACTGTTTAAAATGAACGATTGATTAAATGATTGAAGAAATGATTTAAAAGGAGATTGAAAAAATATCCAAGATGACCACGATTAAACAACTCTAATGTTAAGATATGACATACAAAAACATGTAATGACAGAAAAATTAATTAAAACAATAACAGGGCTCATGTCAGGACTCACACTGTTTTTCTTCTAGTTGTGGATTATTCAGATGGTTATTACATACAGCCAAGGAACATAATAATAAAAGGCTGACTCACCATGAATGAACTCCTGGCACATCTAACTGAATTCTGGATGCAGGGAGTTTTAGATATTTATGCTTTTAAACTTTGGTAGCTTTTGGTGTTGAAAATTTTACTCTGAAGGTTAGCAAACCTGTCTTTTATTGATGTTTTTAGACTTTGAAACAAAATTGTATAATAAATTATACATGCATATATATTAGGCTCATATAGGAACTTGATCTCTGCTCCAAACATTTTCATAGGTAAAATACCTTCCATTGAAATTTTCAGTGGTTTAAATAATAAATTCTTTCTGAGATAGTCATGTAGTATGGCATACAAAACTAATTAATGAGCTGCACTGGGGAAAAAAACGCTGGGTTCCACACAATCGATTTGTGTTGGGACAACCTGAAGGAACTAAGTTAACTTATTAGTTTCTACAAATTTAAGTGGATTGAATGTAAAGCTATTAAGTTGTCCCAAAAAGCATAAGAATCGTGTTGTTTCAGCTCATTTTAAACAAGTAGTTTTAACCTTTTTTGTGTGACAGTACTAAATGATTTGTACACTGTAAAACCCAAAAAGTTAAGGCAACTCAACCCATTTGAGGAAACCGATTGCAACAAACCATTTAAGTTTAAAAGCTAATCCTAATAAGTACTGTGAACAAACCAACTGAGTACTGGAAAACTCAATAAGTTAAGGCAACTCAAACTATTTGAGGAGATCGA